GATATTGTGTTAAAACAGAGCCAATGGCAAGGAGTGCCTTACATCACCCTTAGATAGGGTTTGATTTTGTTGTTGCCTTCACTGCACCTAAAACTAAAATTGATATATTGAGTCAAGCCAGCACAAAGCTTTCTCAGCTGTTGTCCTATCAAAGGTAAGAAACTGATTGTTAGATCGACTACAGACTCTTAAGCTTCAAAATCCTCAGTTTAACAGCACAAGAAGTTCACTCTCACCAGACAGGACGAGCTCAAAGACCTCAAGGTGAGGAGAGCTTTGAGTATCCTTATATCAATTTAACATTTTGATAGCTGACCAATTTAAAGCAAACACAACCTTTTCCACTGCTTTATCTATTTTTTAAACGCTCTGCGGCCAAGTCTATTAAATATACATCTGTCTTGCTGCAGCCCGGATAATGTTTCTCCACTTTGGACAAATGATGGTTCGTCTTTGCTGAAGTCGATGATTAATGTCTCCAGTCACTGATCAACTTTCAGATGACGGAGGAAGGTGGCTCTGCTGATGTGCAGCTTGTTTTGGAGGTAACTTGAGTTACCTAAACGTGATTTTCAGAACTGATCTTTTTTTATATATTTGCCATTCATTCCTGCTGTAAAGCTAAACTATGAAGACAGCTCCTGACTGATCATGACTGGAACTCAAATCAATAACACCTTTCTTCTCTCTCACGCAGATAACGTGTTACATGATAAGCTGTCCAAAGAAATTAAGCATCAGCTAACCTTTCAGTCAACCACAAAGCTCCAGGACAGTCAGTTGGAATAGTTACTGATCATTTTCTATGGATAGAGTTGACCTTAGACATAATTAGCCTAATAAAAGCATTAGATACGCTGTCAATAAGATTTGCATAATGTGCAAAGGCAGACTCATTCCTGAATGCAAGCCGTGTCCAAGTGACTTCAAAATGCTGCAGTGACATTCTCGGGGTCCTTTGTTCACACCTGTCAGGGGAAATGTGATGGGAGACGGCAGTTGCAGCTGCGCCTTCTGCCTCCAGTGAGTCCAACAAGACCACCAGGACCCTGCTGGAGAGTCCAGTACACAACAACCACACACATACACACTCACTGAATGTGTTTCTGAAACGAGAAGGAAATCGCTTCCTTACCTTGTGCCAGACAGATTAATTTCTTATGGCTGCAATTTCAATATAATCCATGACGATCACAGTGAGAATAGGACACGGTCCTCAGTTGCACAAGATAACACAACTTACTTACATTATTATAACTCTTACAAAAGTTGTTTTTTGCATGAAAAAATATTCAATAAATTGCAAATGAATTCCTTCACAATAAGTCTTCATGTAAGCAAGCTAAACCAAATATGACCTGCTACTTCCAGTCTGCAGAAAGTAACTTTAAAGTACAAACTGTGAATGTGTGATGCCAGCTTTGATGTAGCTCCACTACACAGATTATTGATTATCTCGGTGATGTTGATCTCAGAGAAAACCACTTCAACACAGAGCACCATGTAATGAGTCACTCTCATAACGGCGCTGAGGTCAAAACTGTCAGTGATTGTTATGTTGCTCTACAACGGGGGTACAAGCTTCTTCACAAGGCTCTTTAGTCATATTCAAAAAAGAAAAAAAAACAACCTCTCATATTTCAAACGCAGCAATGTGCTGCTTCGGGTACTAGTTCTGTGAGTTTTCCCTTTTTTCCTTGCAGGTCAGCTGTGTGAGCAGCAGCCTGGCCTCTGTATGACCCATAGAAGTATGACACTTTGCAAACCATCACCTCAGATTCATTTCCGAGGCTCGCACTTCACTGAGTGCTCCTGTCGCGGCTGTGTTTTGTCATCATGGTGGGCATCCAAATGAGGCCTAAACCTTGAGGAAAATTCAGCGCTCTATGGTCAGTTGGCTTACCATTCTTTGCCCCATTAGCTTTTATGATTGGTCCTGCATTTGCATAACTGGTAGAGAGGAGATTGTAGACCTGAATGATTATAGACAGAACCTGAGGCTGTCCCATTCATTCAGGCACATGGTGTAATCATTATACACCGCAGATGTGGACCAACGTCCCGTTATCATCACTAAGTTCTTTAATGGCGGTTCAGGAAACTTGAACATGTGTAGCTATATTGGGGTTTTGAGAATCTTTTGAAACTGCATATTTTCTGTAGCACTGTGTTGCTTCCTGTCAACAACATTCCCGCTCTTCAGGACTATAAATGTAGCTGAGCGTCATGTCATTACAGCACCTGAGATTGAAAGACAGAGGAAATAAAAGACAACAGGTGTTTCATTTCAGCACTTATCTTCTACTACCTACAGGATACATCGAGGAAATGGATGGCTGGGGCTCAGCACGGATCAACCTTTTGCTGATTTTAACAGCAGACACCTTTGCCAGTGTTTATCAAACAGCCAGGCTCAGAGTGTTTCAATTATCAGCAAAGGGAAACAGATGAAGTGTGAAAGCAAAGTGAAGATATCTATCCACACCAGACCCAGTGCAGGTAATAAGAAATAGTTCAAGCGTGGTTTTAAGAGAAAAGTTTCAACCTCCATCACCCGTCGGAGTTACGGAATCAGACTAAAAGCAGATTTTCTTCCTTCCTCTCACATAAATATCTGGAAGCTGTTAGCCAAATATGATTGTGATGGTAGGTGTTAAGTGAATACGGGAATCAAGCTCCGAGTTCTGCTGCATGCACCAGAAATGCTGTCACTCTGACTGAACTCTGAAACCGACATCTGCAAGACTGGCTATCTAAAAAAAAAAAAAAAAAAAGAGAAGAAAAGACACAAGAGCCACACAATAGGCAAAATCTGCCTTTTGCATCATGTATGTAACCTACATCAGCAGTGCAGCTGTTTTAAAGAAGCACTGATTGTGAATTATGTAGGGATCAAAAGATCGTTGATATTTCTAGCCTTCACACAATGTTTCTTTAATTGATTTTTAAATCAATTAGGAGGTTTTCATGACCTCACAGCACAGATAACTGCAGCACATTTGTGAGGATTGATGAGGCTGTTCATCTACATTAGATATTACTTATAATGAAGCTTAGCGTTAGTTCAAGGAGGAAGACTGTTTCCTACTCATTCATTCATTAGTCATCATTCATTCTTGTCGCTCCCTCTCTCGTCCGGCTCAGGTGACCGGCTGATCATGGGTGTTTACTCTTTCAGTACTAAACCAATGAGATTTCACCATGACCTCGGTTTACCAATCATCCTGTTGCTGTCATAGAATCCATTCTGCCTCTCTGTCAGTTTGTCGTTTCAGTTTGATCACCTCCAATACATCTCAACGGTGTCCAGGTTCAGCTCTTCAGAGGTCTACCGCCTAGACTCCACTAGTGTCTAGACTCCATCTGGGGGGTATCCTATCCTGCTGTCGGCATCACTACCGCTTCAAGGACATGAATACATCACCATGGAGACTAATCACCACAGACATTGCACATTTCTCTTTTCCCTCACTTTAAAATAAACAATTGTTCATTCATCATTAAGTATCCCCTGGTTGAAGTAGGCCAACTTTTCGTTCCATACCAGATTCCTTAACCCCTCCTTGCATTTTCATAATAATTTGTGATGGAGCCAGGTTATAGAGTTTGTGCAAACTATCACTACCACAACCACAGGAACACTCTTTCTATAGGTAAAAAGTACTATCTATATTTAGCAGTATTTATGTTTAGCAGCATTATCCATGAATGACATGTCATTTGGATCTAATTAGGGGGATAGCTTATTTGTGTCTTGCAAACATTTGGCTTTATGAGTTATGCTAATGGCTGTCGATGCTCCATTGTTCCTGAAAAAGATCAAAAGTTACAAAAAATGCGTGTTCTTAATTAGACCTGATTCTAATGATTATTTCAGATATATAGAGGAATAAAATCCCCTCTTTCATCATCAGAGCGCAGTGTGGAAACTCGCTCTCTGCAAAAGGGGCTGGGGTGAAGTTATTGCTCTTAGGATTGTAGCAAAAGAGCACAGTCCTCCAGGCTAAAGGACATTTTGCCTCTCTGCAGCAGAATTCATTCTGCACAGGTTCTCTGCTTGCAGGACTTTCTGTTCCCCTGTAAGAAATCCTCTTTACAGGAGGCATGTGAGGCTCCAGGCTCAAGCTGTCTCAAGGAAGACGGGAGCCCCAGATTTGAAATTTACTTTGCAAAAGCCTTGTGTAGTCAAACTAGAGCAAACATTAGGGTGTGATCTTCTAAGACTTTAGTCGGTCATGCAGAGAAATCAGCGGTTTATTCCTCCCACATTAATGCAGAGTGGAGAAGAACAAATGAGAGTGCTGTCTGCTTAGCTAAAGCAGGACATCACACTTTCTTCTGGGCACCGAGCTCAGCTCTGCCTGCAGTGAGTGTAAATGTTCCAGGCTCCCTTGCCGCCACCACATACTGGCAGCTAACTCCCGAGCCACCCTTGCCTGCTAACAGGATTAGCCCCTGAGCTCCACTTGTTTCAACCAAGTTATCAAGTTTAAAACACAGTCTCCTGGTAGCTGTTGCAACATCAGAGGACCGGTCCTCGACTCTGACAGGTCAATTAATAGTCAAGTTTTTCCTGCCGTCCCTTGAGGCCTGCTTTCCTTCTGACAGTGAAACATATTTACAGTGGAGATGTTTTTATCAGCGGTCTCAGCTTTATGTGCTGCTGATCCAGAAATATGTTCACAATATGTGAGAATAGAATAGATTCAAGGTCTTAACAGGTGGTAATGCATGTTGAACTACATAAAGGCACATGGGGCAATATAGCATTATCATATTGCATTTCATTAGCCTCATTCAAGTGTTGGGGGACATTTAGAGGAGCAGTAATATGGGCTTGTATTATTATTATGATTGCAGAATAACAGATTTTATAATCAATAAAGAGTCTTAGTATAAGAAAATCTATCTGAAAGATTTCATGTCTCAGATGGAACTGCACCTCTAGAAAATATCTGTCTGTATAAAACCCGACAGTGAAAATAACAAAACACATGAAATAAACACAAAATATTCCCTTTATTTTTTTCTACCTTAAGACTACACAGGGTCACTGATGTAGCTCTAAGAGGTATCTACATTTGCATTTTATGTACAGCTTACTTTGATGTCGTCATATTTACACGGTCAAAGAGAAGCGCTAAAAACACAGTGTTGAGAACAAACCAAAACTCAAAATGAGTCCAGAACTTTAGAAAAGATACAGTCTTATGAAGCAACAGTTCTCAGTGCAATATTCCACAATGCAAATATCCTTCATTCATATAATGTTGAACATACACATTTTTTTTGGGGGGGGGGAAACAGAACATCACTGAATCAACCATCAGCAGAAAAGAAAAATAACCGTGTCCAGTTTGCTTTAATGTTTGTAGAGTTTGAGACACTCAGTCATGCTCCCACCAACCCGAAACACACAAACAAGTTCATCAATCGATGGGAAAATACGACGAGAAAGTCCGGTGTGTGCAGTGGTCTGGCATAGTTCAAAATGTATCAGAAGTCAAATAAATATCACAACTTCCACAATTGTCTTCTTGACCCCTTTTGATTTTTTTTTCTTCTTCCACGTAATGACATTTCAGCAGAATTGTCCTTAGCCGTCTTAACTGAGGAGAGCGTGGAGTAATGGGAACTAAACGTGTACACATGGTTTACTTCCAAGGTCGGCGTGTAAAGACGACCTTTAGTCTGTAAACAGGAACTAGTACACCTGCAGGTCTAATGCACTCCAGCCAGCCATGGGACCAAGTGGAGCCCCACTCTGTACAACGAAAGCACGTTTGATGCTGACCTGCGGGCAGCCCTGAGGCTAAAGGTAATTAGTATCTTTCATCTCACTAACAACACAATGCCAAGCTGAAGTATGTTAAGGTGATGCTAATGTAATGAGATTGTTTTCTTTGAGAAGTTTTGCAGTAGTTCTCGAAAAAAACATTTTTCGTCCTCGGCTCTTCTTGATCGAACATCGCTGTGAGGAATACTGACTTAAGCTCATTGAGAAACAAACACTGCGTTCAATATGCAAATGTGATCAGTAAATTGTCATCAGTCTAATGAAAAACACAGTAATTGATTTAACTAAACAACCTTTCATAGTTTATTCCATGTGTTGAAACACCCTTATGTATTGTTCAAGTACAACAATTAACAATAAAAGGGACAATAGTTCACATTTTTTTAGATTCACATTTTGTTATACTGTTAATTCATATAGCTATTTATAAAACAGAACTCAAATGTAATTCCAAACCATTCCTGTAAAATACCTTTTGTGATTTAATACAGACGATAATTCCACAGTATTTTCTTACAGGGTTGACGCTTCACTATGTTCATCATCATTGACCACAGTCAAATAAAATGGAGCACAGATTTAAAATGATTCTTTTTTCAACTTCTTTCTTTGAAAAAATAAAAAAAATCCAGTTTTTTTAAAAAAAAATACACAAACTAAAAAAATCACCCCATATCCATTTGTTGGCTTGACCATCAAATCTAGTCTTAACTAAGCATGTTTGCTAATTTTGTAGTTCATAAAGAAGGCCATCAACATGCACAGTCAGGGTGCACTGACGCCTTCCAAGCTAAGCCCACAGATGAGTATCAATCCTCCTCTTAAAAAAAAATTACAAGACATCACACAAATGAAGGTGCTTTGACAAGTTCAGCTGGGGATTTGATGAAGGGCTCTACCGCCAACAGAAATCTCTCTCATTATTTATGGATGACTGGGGCTATGAGGGTTTCAAGTATAAAAAAGAAGTGATTAAAAGAGAAGGAATCTCCTTGGCTGAGGCGCAGAAAAAGGCAGAATGGAGCAAGCTTGTGAATAACAATCTGCAAGTCTGGCAGCAGAGTGAGCCAGTGAACATAACGCATTACCAATACTCCTCTTGGATTCCTTTGAACAGAATCACCAAAAGGAACCAGGAAATGGAGTCACAAAAATAAGTCACAGACATCGCAAATGTTCATCCTCTAGCAGCCGCACTTGGAGGGCAAAGACTGTTAAAGAATCTTCAAAGGAGAAGGGCACTCTTCTATTAATACAGTGCAACTGATTTGCAACCATGTTTTTTTCTTTTTTTTTTACAGTATATTAAAAACCAAGTTGAGCACAGTCAAAGAAAACAAAAGTGGTCATGTACACAACTGTCTTTGGCAAGTAGTCCCATGTCCTACATGTGAGTCCGTCACTCCAGAGCCTCGTGTTCATGTCACCTTCGGCCCATTTCGCTCTGTCTCATAAAATGAATGTTGTTGACACTGTCTGCCAGCTCAGGGTACTGGTCAACCGAAACCACGTAAAATCCGTCGTAGCCCTGAACCTTCCCTGAGCCCAAGAGCTGCTGCTTCTCTCCCTCAGTCCAGGTCCGTGAGCCCTCCTCTCCGTCCCTCAGTCTCTGGCGCTCCCGGGCCCAGGCCTGGGCGACAGCTCTCTGCCGGGCCAGCTCCAACACTCGAGCTTTCTCCTCGTCCACACTGCTGCCGTAGCGAGTATTCAAAGACAGAGCGCCGTACTGCAGCTGGATGTCAGTAATGCGCCTAGTCCTGCCATTGAGAACAGTGTTGACCTGAGACACCGTCACATTGACGCCCGTCTCTAGCGTGCGCCGGCCCACCGTCATGCCAATGAGGGCCAGGTCCCCCTCCACCGAGCCCAGTTTGATGAAGTAGTGAGTGTCCATTCCAGTGATGGTGAAGTGCAGGTCTTCAAGGTAGAAGGCGTCGTTCAGAACTGCAGCCATGCGGCGGCCATCTTCGTTGGCCAAACTGACGATGTCGGTGCCGATGCGACCGCCTCGAATGGCAAATTTCACGCCCTTTCCGAAGATGGAGCCGGCAGAGGCAAAGATCTTGTCGTCCTCTGTCTGAGGACATCCGGCACTCTTTGCTCTGTAGATCTGGCCGAAACGCTCTAACTTCACAAAGGCTTTGAGCTGCCTCTGAACTTCACATTGAACGCCCAGCAAAGACTGCAAAACAAAGACAATAGTGTTTAGTCACACAGCCCCTGCAGCATTTATGTAGGCAGCAAAATACATTTTCTCTTCTCTTCCCAGAGCAAGAAACACATTTACACAATATCACTGAATTGCTTGTTGGAAGCTATTTTTCTAGATATTTCCTAAAACTTCAGACTGCCTCCCCACCTTGCCTTTTCACTTTTATTTTACTTTGTAATGGGATTCAGGAGCGCTCTCTGCTTTCAGATGTTCACTTTGTCAAAACTAAGATTCATACTGCCTCATTAACACTTCAAAGATTTAAAATCCAGCGCTATGACTACAGCTATTCCCGTTGAATGCCTGCGACTGAATGAGGATGATTTGACACTTTCTGTTCCTGTTCATGTATCAATGTCATAGAAATCCAGACTAAAAATAACATCACCTGCCTCTAACATATGCTAAAATACCCTGGCTAAAAGAACAAAATGACTAAAAAACTATGATAATTCAGCGCTGGAAACGGATTTCCTCAAGTCCTATTTCACCAACTCTACCTCCTGGATGGCTGTTGTGATAGTCTCAAAATGTAAAACCAAAAGTGTCATCTAATCCATGTTTTACATGGTAGAAAAGTATATAAAGATTACCAACGGTAAATGAAGTATTAATTTGATCCCGAATTTGTAGAACCTATTTTTTTAGCGTCATATTAAAATGATTTAATATCTAAACATTGGTTATTAATAGCAGACGACACATCTCGGTTTCTTTGGAGCTGTGAACGAACCGCACAAGGTAGGGGCAGAGGTTTTTGTTAGCAAATGCAAATCTCTCTGATTATTTGTGACAGGTGTGATATTTTGAAAACAGGGTGAAATTACTGAGTTCTGACAGCCTCGCTGTACCAAACAGGAAAGAGGAACCCGTGGGTAAATAGTGTATACAGTATACATACATACATATTATTCCTTAAGGGATCAGAGCCTTAGATTAAACAATCCCATCAGCCAAATGTGTTCTTTGTCCTGATACTACTTGACAAGAGACCCTCCTCAGGAAGAAAAAAAGATGTTAAAATAAGGAGAGTGATATGAGATGGAAGCTGGCCAACGCACAGTGAGACAGCAGTGTGAACACGCCTTAGCAGCAGCAAAAAGGCTCTCAACACTGTGCCTTCCTACCACCGCCTTAGATAAGACGCTGTGAGCGTCCTCAGCAGTTTTTGTCAACCATCACATCCAAAGTTCTCCTGACAGTTTCTAATTCTGTCTCTGTGTGGCTCTGATGACGGCCGGTTACAGGCTGGGGGGGGGACTGGGTGGGGCTGAGGAGTGGGAGCAGCCTGCAGTGACCGGCATATCAGCCCCCTCTCTGACATGACACTGCATCAGATCCTGCATGAAGAGGACACATGAAGGGGAGGGGGCAGCTGTGCTGTGGGGCCCCATGGGAGAGATGGCCTGGGGGGACATTTCACACCATGCCACTCCATGTTTGTTTACGGTGCCAACAGTGTGACCAGGTCAGATGTCCCAGGGGTGATGGTTGGGGGGGGGGGCAATGTCCTCCACTCTACTGAAACAGCCTTCTGGGACTCTCCCATTGAGGCATCATTCACATAACATGGGGTGCAATCAGCCTCCAGCACAACCCAGAACGAGAGATCAAACCTCATCTGTCTGGCCGCTCACGGCATTTTTCAATCCGAGTGCGGATTCATCAGCTCGAACAAAATAGAGGCTTAAATGAAAAGAGATGGAAAGGCAGGCGTGCTTTTGTATAAAACAAAATTAAAAAACAAGTCCACAGGATTTACCACATGTAGTTTTAAAGCTATATTTAGGCCTCAAACAATCCTAAATTTAATTAGGCTGGTCTGGCCATCTGCAGTGAGGATCTACATGCCATTTACCAGCTCAAAGGACCAAGCATTTCAGCATCGGGAGAATATTATTGCTCTGTCTCGTATACAGGATAACGACTAATTATCTCAATCTTTCCTTACATATTGTTTATAGTACATACTTCAGAGCTGTGCTGAACTGCTCCCTCACAAACATGAGTACAATCCTGAAATCTAGGCTACCTTGGCTATTTTAAGCCTCAGTTGCATAATGAGGACTAATTGGTTCTCTTGAACACATACCATAAAAGATGGATTTTTAGTAAGAAATCAAACTTTTAACTGTATTTTACTTAAATGGACATCCTTGTAGTTAGTATTTTTTCTAAATTAAAATGTAGGAACAAGTTTTATGCATGACTCATTTAATCTATTAATGAGGGTCACACACTGCTGGGATTAAATCAAAGAAATTGAAATCTTGTCTTGTAGTGGTTACCTTGTTACGTCTGTTAAAAAAAACACACAATCTGACCACTTATAAAAAAATGATATATTCAAGTAATTAAAAAAAGCTTAAGCATACCTGAAAATAATTATGATGTTATAGATAGCATTTGAAAAAGTAGAGAAATTTGAGGTGATGACTGATTCTTTTTAATCTGATCTGATTTGATTTGATGCCGCTCCTTCCTGAATAAATACCTCTGGTTCTAGTATCAGGCCCAAGCAGCCTGTGTGAGTCAGTCTCAGGGGGCTTTAACAGTAACCCCCCCTAAAGCAGTCGATGTTACATGTAAACATAACTGAGTTTTCTTCTATAATGATTTTAAACTTTACATATGACCTGCAGAAAATCAGTGTTGATTCATTACTGAATCAGGCCATGTTGTACTTGAGTGTCTGGAGAAACATTGAATGTTTTATTAATAACACAGTCAGATATATTTTCTATAAAACAAACACACCCTTAGATAATATAAAGCTGCAGGTTATACTGACGGTATACAGTAAATACAGTAAATGTATAAGAGTCACAATCACTGAGGACAGGAAGTGGAAAAAAGTAAAAGTACATGTATCGATCAGTTTTCTATTTTAAAAACATGACATCTTAAGCATTAAATGAAACAGCATTAACATGTAGTATTCAGAGTATACTGAGTATATTTTCTTTTTTTTTTAATGCCAGGTTGGTATGCCTGCTTTGGACTGTTGGTTGATCTGTTTAGAGGTCTCAGATGTCTTTGACCCTTGTATTGTGTCTTCGGTTTAGCTTTTCATCTTACAGTGTTAAACGACAACATTAGCCCACTGTGTTTTGTGCCACTCAGAGTGTCACTCAACATGAATCCGGCCCCCTGATGGCTGCCATTTACTAGTGGAGCTGAAACCAAACCCAAGACAACAGTGGCCTCTTCAATAATTCAGGTGAGTTGGAGGCAACTTAAAAGGGGCTGATAAACGCAAGAATCAGAGCATGTCTACTGCTTCTTAGACCTTGGCTAACCGTGAAAGAGTGAGATGAAATCAATGGCCAGTGGTGAAGGGAATGGAGAGTGAATTTCCCTAATGGCAGGACAATTACAAGAGCTGTTTAGCCTGACCCCATTCCCCAAGATGGGGACTATGGGCAGGGACCTGGCTCACTGGGCTGTGTTTTTGGCCCGATAACTGGCAGCTCCTCTGGGAGCCTGGCTACACAGAGAATGTCTATTTGCTAATGATGTTGGAAAGGAGGGGGACAGAGGTAGGAGAATGTGATCTGTATTAAGGTGAAAGGTGGGGCAGGTGAGAGATGACTGGTTTACCTTGGTGCTGTCCCACTCTTGTGTCTTGATCTGGGTGCTGACTAACTCGTACGATGGCTCCATGGATTCTGTGTTGGGTTTTCGGTATCCAGGGATGACGTTGTATAGTTGGAAGCCGAACGTCACCAACCAGCTGTTCACATCTGCAGAGGAGGGATCAGAACATTGAATTAAATATACTGGTATCTTAAAACACAATAACCTCGTGCTCCATTGAAACCTTAAGCTGAATTGATTTTTGAATTTTTAACAGGTGACATTCTGCGGTCAAGTGGCTGTCTCCTCGACACACTCCTCCTCATTAAGCCCGAGCACTTGATTTGTTTGTGAAAGTGGACAAGCTATAATAACACTCGAGATGGTGGCATGATTCATGTCCACTCCAGCAGGTGTCTCGCTAATGACACACAGCTGGGTACCAGAAACGCCAAGTTATAACAGAGTGTCTGCTTTGCTGATACTCATAAGCTGTGATTTAATGTAAGCTCAAAGCAGCCAATGCAAAAATATTTACGACTCAACTGTATTATGCTGTATTTCTTTTCTAATGAGATGTTGCGAAATAGCAGAGTGACCTCACCGAGGTTTAAATCCATGCAATCGTGATAATCTGGCAGATCGCGGCATGGTTTGGTTCTGCTGCCATTCCCTGTGATGAGTTGTCATAAAATCTAAATATCATGGCGAAGGCCACAGCCATGACTAGAAGCAAAGCCTGAAGCATTTGTTTTTTGCCTCTTTCATGATTTTGCAGAATCATTGCTGGGACACTTTAGGGCCAAGTTTGTATTTGATTGGCAGTGCCACATTGTAGCACCTGACAAAGCTTTTTTAAAATAAGAATTTGTTTGAGGACAATGAAAGGACCCTGATAATTTAGTGAAAGGAATGGAAATGTCAGAGCCATCAATCACACTTGAAGCAGACCCCAGACAGTATATCTAACAGTCTGCTTAGCATTCAAATGCCAGTCAGCTACTAATGGTGGAGTGTGAAGCTGAACGTCATTCTGTTAGGCAGGTGGCTTAATGACTTTGTGGGACAGGAAGAAATAGAAATGTATACTCAACTTGAACTAAAGGGAAACTATTTGTTCTCAGAATTCTGTAAGGATAAATTAATTATGGATCAACTGGTTATGTGAAAGGGAACATTGGGATAATCCCATAATATTAATATAATACAGAAAGAACATAAAGAATTAAATCTTCACTTTCTGAATGAAATGTGGCTTAAGCGGATTGGTTAAACCACAGAGAATTCATTGAGTGTCCTTAACAATCTTGTTTCTCTTCCAGCCAAAGAGCTCGATACAACCGGCTATGGTTAAGGTTTCTATGGATCCATTGTGCCCTCCTTCTCTATTGGGGTGCTTTCACTGCCATTTACCTCCTCCCTACCACAAAGCAGCGCAAAAGCGATGTGATATTTCTGGGAAGGGACCTGAGTGTTCGACAACAGAGGGGGCTTTTCCATACAGCATTGTTCCCTCTGAGCACTTTCAAACGATAGCCACTGGGTACACGCACAAGCACATGTGTTCCCACACATACACACACATAGACACACACAGTGACACACAAGAGCAGAGACACAACCTCAGTGTCCCAGTGAGAAAGCTCTTAAAACCCCTCTATAGCACACTGCTTTTCAATTTAATTTTGGCAGGCTATTTTCTTTCAATTGTGGCGTGTTGTTTGGGAAAAAAAACACACCAGATTTAAGAGAAAACCTCGAATGAGTATTGTTTCACTGAACTGCAAAGCAACTGCAGTTTTAAGGTGTAGGCTGCCCCCCCTTCACCTACCTTATTTTGGCAACATAAAAAATTCACAGGGATAATTTTCATTGGCTCTATTGCGATTTACTTAACATCTTTCAGCTGCTATTTATAAAAAAATATTATTTTTTGAGGATGCTTCATGCTTACTTTGATTACAGCTGTTTGATTAAAACACCGTCTCAAGGACACGTCCTGTCTCTTTTAAGAGTCTGCTGGTCTGCTCTGTGAACTTACCGGTCATGTAGCACTTTATCTCCTTGTTGTTGCTGAGAGGATTGTTATTCTTGAACATGTAGAGGTTGAACGGCACCATGTGGTTGCTGTTGAGACGTTTCCAGATGTCATGGTTGGGTGTTGTCCAGCGGCCGGCAAGGACATCATAGTCCCGTCTGCCCATGTGAACCAGTCTACTCAGAGGCTCGTACAGACCTCCCTGGTAGCCGATTACGAGCTGGAGGCTGGGGTTGGTGTCGAGGTAAACTTCTCCAAATGCTGTATGGAGGATCTGTTTGATCATGAGGCCCGAGCCGCTGAACACAGCCAGAGGAGTGCCTATGTTATCACAGGCCACATAGAACTCGTCCCCGCTGCTCAGCTCCATGGCGAACAGATGTCCCTGCAGGTCATAGTAGAGTGAAGTGATCTCAGAGCTGGAGTGATTGTACATATGTGTGACCCGAGTAGGACTTGACAAGTCCGCATAGAAGTACTGCAGGTGGTGGCCCGAGCTGGTTCTGCTGGACACCCTCCTGCCCAGACCGTCATAACGGTATTTGATGGTCCAACCGCTCACTCTGTTGTAAACCTTCACCAGGAGGCCTGCTGAGTTGTAGTCAAAGTAGTCGTTCCCTCGCTGCTTGAGGAAGCCGTCCTCATCCATCCTGTACTGGACGTCTCCCAGGCGAGTGATGCGGTCTCTGATGTCGTAGCGTAGTGGTGTGAGGCGAGCGCTGTTTCCAGGGCTGAGCAGGTGCAAATTGCCGTTTAAGTCGTAGCTGTACCTCCACAGAGGCTTGTCGTTGATGGAGACCACCTGGAGCTGTCCGTCTGCGTCATACTCGTATGTGTAGCGAGTGGTGTTGGCATAAGGCCCAACCTTTAGCTCCTTGGCCACCACTCGCCCCATATTATCGTACTGCACCATCATCCAGTACATGAGCGAGCGAAAAATCTCATACTGGACCTCCTTCACCCGGCCGTAAGCATCAAAGTGTTTGGTGTGGGTCATCACTGCTGTGGTAATGATTTGATTTATGTCATAATAGATGACTCCAAATTTTCCAAACTGTTCAGTTTTGCCGGACACGTCATCATAGCGGTACAAGTCGATGGGCAGTGGTGTTTCATTAATGACGGCCTGCATGCTAGTGACTCGAAAACTGTTGTCATAGACATAGTCAAACCTGGCGTTGACCATGCCCTCTTCACTGAACCTGAATATCTGTCTGTCAATCAGCGGGCCAATCTGTCGGTAGCGGATGGTGCAGGTGAAGCCCTCACTCTGCAGGTTGACCGTCTTCAGCATGCCCGCCACCTCGTCGTAGGAGAAACCGATGCGCGTGGTGTCGTAGAGGATCTCCAGCAGCTTGGCGAGCTTGCCGTATTTGTAGATGACCCTGCGCCCCGTGCCCAGGTAGGTGGTCTGCAGCAACTGGCCTTCCTCGCTGTAGTCCTGCAGCACTGAGGCGTTACCTTCGGGGGGCCGGTAGGTGTTTCTGTAGTAGCCAATGGAGCGGGAGGTCTCGAGCGTCTGCCGTGCCACATTAGGCATGGTCACGGAGGAAAGTCGGTCGTTTTTGTCAAATTCAAAGATGTACTGCCTCTGACTGTAGAGAAGCAGGACCATGGACTGTAAAGAGAACAGAGAACAATCATTGAAATGAAACGAGACGAAATGTCACTCTGAAGACGATATATTAGATTTAATTGCATGCTACATAATCACACAGTAAATAGAATATGTATGTATATCACATCTGAGAGACACAAAAATGTACTTTCAATGTTGAATTCACAATCCCTCCATGTTGTGTACTGTCACTAAGCGTAGGTCGGTAATGTACAACACGTCGGTGTTTCACAGAAGAACAAGTGAAATGTCAAAAGCAGTAACATATCATGCTCGCAGGTCTGATCTTATTTCCATCTCGAAGGTGAAATTGTTGATTTTTAAATTACCTCAAACAATTTCACGTAAAATGCTGCCTATCGTTTCTTATTTGTGGAATCTTTTGATGGAAATAGTGTGATGGAACATAATTTCACACGACTCTGCAAACAGAAGTTTCTATTTGTGGCTTTCTTGCACTCATAGACGATGTCTTTAAATCAGTTTTGAGGCTGTCACAACCAGCTGCCAGCATCTCAGCATCTTAAAGGTTGCTGAACAAGACTACAGACTATTAGCAAGGTGACTGGCTGCCATTTTAATATCAAACGTTTTAGATGGAGAAGAACTCCTCATCACCTTCTCAACAATCTTGCCTTCAAATTAGGGAGTAGAAAGTGACATTTCACTCTGTTCTTCTCATCAGAGCTATTTCAGGTTAAGCATGCTGTCAGACTGTGGTAACAAAGTATCACGTCTGCAGAGCATCAGACAGGTTTTAATTACACTTCGGCTCATATCTGTGCTACAGTCTGATAAAGCAGCGCAAACACTGCTGCAGCGTTACAAGTTCACTTTTTACATCAGTTTAAAATCTGCTGTCAAAGTTCTTACACAAACATTCCTCCACACTTTACCTGAGGTCATTTCATATTCAGTTTCTTTTCTTAATCTTTGTTTCAACCATTCAATCAGAATTCAACAGAACCAATGCATACCTTCTCAAGGTAAGTGTAGCTCCACGATTTACCATCAGCAAATATTTGGGAGGTGATTCTGCCGTTCTGGTCATACTCCATGCGTACAGACATGGTTCCTCTTTGGATACCTGCCACATGGCCTCCAGGGGAATAGGTGACATTGACTCCATTAAGACGACTGCTTGGTGCCCACAGGGTGGGCCGCCCGGCATGGTCATAGTGGATCCGTAATGTGAACTTCCTGTGGTCATCATAGACCTTTTCAGTCCTGGTGATTCGGTCAAAGTCTAATGACAACAAGTTCCTGTTGTGAACCTAAAGGAGAGGAAGTAGAGGATTAGACAAATCAATGTGAGCACAGCAGCGTCACCTAGAGGGAATACATATGTTTGAAATGATTGAGGTGAGTCGGTGCACCGCACTTGTGAGGTGGAACCCTTGTGAGGAGAGCTTTAATCACACGCTGATTATTTTATATTCTCCTTTTCATAGCTTTTAATTACAAGAGAGGCACTGTATCTCAGGTCTGCAGGAGCCATTGAAGTGATGAAATTATAAGAATTACCATATTTCTTTGTTTGTGTTAAAATTCTGCAGTCTTAGTGGGAGTATGCCTATTCATGCAAAAAACATTAGAGCCACATTGATCATTAAATTCATTTTCACAGCTTACTGAAAAGAATTACCAGGCGCAGATGACTCTCATTTTATTTAGCCATTTCTGTAAATTGGAAAAGAGGAGGAAAAAAAATCTATTCTTCTCCCATGTGACTCAGAACATTGTCTAAATGACACTTCACATTTTTGCCTCTTTTGAATGCATGAGGCTGCACAAAGTGACCCTTGGCTTTCCTGTGATCAGAGCCAAAAGACAGAGCTCTGAAGAGTGTAATCCTTGAGGCCATGTTCAGGTCAGCAAAGTCGAAACTGCTGCCAGGCTTTATGCAGGAGACAGCGCCTGTGCTGCAGCCAAAAAAGATCAACCAGCAGACCTACAGGAACATTACGTTTCTCAGTCAGCAGCCTTTGTAGGCAAAAAGGAAAAGAGGAAAAGAAATCAAATCAGGAGGAGAACATGCCCTTAGGGGAGAGGCCAGAGCATATCTTCAAACATACGACCACTTCAAACACCATGTGGAAGAGTTGTGAAAATGTGGTTGTAGAGGGTATGTGACATTTACAACAGCAACAACCGCTCTGATTCTGTGCTATTTCCATTTTCTTTATTAATAAACAGAGTTTCTGTTTAGATGTGCTTTTGTTTGGCTTGATAAAACGCCTGGCAAAGCTTGAAAACATCTGAGCTCAGAAAGATTCTTCTGGCTTCTTTCCAAACATGCTACAGAGCAGGTCGCAGAGGGCTTACTGAGAAGCCTCACTTTTTCAATCTCACTTTGAGAAAAGCATGCTTAGGTCTCTCATCTGTGAAGGGACAATTACACCAGAGGCAATTAACGTCACTGATACCTAATTGAGAGGATTACTAAGCGTGGAGATGGGGAGGTCCAATGGATCTAGGAATAAGAACCGAAGGGGGGGGGGGGTCCCATTAGTTAGCTTCTCTTTACTTTCACTCACTGTCAAAACAAGTGATACAAGGCACTAAAACCAACAACTTACTATCCAAACTTTGAGCAGAAGACAGTTATTTCTTAATTACACAGCTTCTTAAAGATAAGTGACAACATATAAGAACTGAGACTTCTCCTCTGGTTCCTGGAACAGTGAAACACTGTGGTTCAGACTCATTCATAAGCAGAAGAGGTTTTCTGTCCGTCAATAAAGACACTATTGACATTGCTTTCATCATAAAATAAGGCACAAGAGAGAGAAGGCGTTCCAATGCAAGAATCTGGTTCGCTGAAAACTCAACAGGGTGGAAAAAAGCTCTCACAGTAGACATCCCCGTGATCCCAGGAGAATGGAAACCCACTCATGAGGAATTATTGTAAATTGGACATTCCCTCCAAAAGGAAATCTAAAAGAATGTAGATGTGTAGAATCTGAGATCTGCGCTGTTAAATATTTAACTGTTTCTATCATAAAACATTACAGCAACATCTGATCTCTCAATCACTATCAACGACTTTTGTGTCAAACGACAATCTCAATCTGTCATGTTACAAGTGAGACTGCCTTGTAGTGGTGTCATGGCTAATTCAACATTCACTTTGTTTTCTTCATAGCATCAGTTTGGTTTGTTTACACATTGCAATCAAAGAAAAGCGTGTGTATCCTTTTATTTACTTCTGACTCGTACCTCTTTTGAACAAACAGTCTGACATTGCAAGACGTTTTAAAGGTACTGAAATGCTAATGCAGATGTATCAGCTGCTTTTAATCCAATCCGAAGTCGTTCTGTCGTTCAGAATTGTTCAGTCACTTCCTTACATTTTCAAACTATACAATCTGGAGAATCTAAACGACCGGTCACTGAGCTCTGACACCATGAATCATGAACGTTGCAGACCGGGAAGGGGCGAGAGAGAAGAGACACGTGTCACATGTGGAACGGGGTAAACTGAGGACCCTCAGTGACCTGTTTAGCCTCAGGCCACGAGGGCACAATACGAAGACAACATGCACGTGTCGTACCACATTGTGACTAAGAGACTCGCACGCGGACATCAACATTTGAAACCCTTCTGCTCTTCTTCTCGTCTTCGCTCATTCCCAGCACTGGAGCGACGTGTGAAGTCGGCGCCTCACAGTTGTTTCTCATGCTCCGTTTCTCATGCATTCCTCTATTCTGTTCTGTATTCGAGACCCCCACCTCCCTGTCCACTGCCACACACTTATCCAGCCACCCACGTAATATCACTTGACATGCCGCTCAAGGTCGCTCAATGATTCCAGCTCAGTCCATCCCCTCTGTTCTTGCCATTAGGCTGCTCCCATTTCCTATCTCACCCCTGGGGCCATTGTCTGAAACATACATTAGAAGCTTTCGCTCCCAAAGGGCCGACAGGGCCATTAAATGAACAGCCAATGACAGACAAAGTGGCACCTCCCCATTAGCTGTGTCACCTCCCAGACAATGTGGAAGACAACTTAACCAAAGTTGTTATTTCCCCGACGAAGCCAAGAAAAACAATTCAAGCCAATCAATCTGGATATATTTCTTTAAGGTGCCCTTTGTGCTCATAGTCATTTCCAGCGGTTAACTCTAGATGCTATTTAATCTAACAACAAGTGTTTCATTATGAGAAGAAACCAGTTGATATACTGTGTGTAACTAGGTCATCTTGCAAGATTAGTTTACTGAGGCCAATTCCCAAGTCATATACCTCTCTGAATGAAGTTACAAAAAGTTAGTACAACACAGAGTCGAATGTATCTAAGCTACTTGTACCATTAAGACCAAAAATAGACTTTCATTTAAAAATGGCAAGGTTTTTATTGGCTCACGCTGGCTGCTACAGGTAGGGGTGAGAAGATCACATATAATCCAGGTACACCATGAAACACATCCGTACGGCTTTAAACACAACACAGCAGCTTATAGCTGCGGGGCAACATTTTTCAACTCCGGAAAGTTATTAAAGTGTAAAAGGATACAGTGTGAAAGATGAAGAATAGCATCAAAACGTTCATGTAACACGGTATTCTACAAGTCTCTAAGTGTAAAACACATCTATGTGCTAAACTAAACCTCAGGCTTCAAGTGAGGAATGCAAGAGTTGGTCAGGCAAAGCTCATTTACACAATCAATTCTGACATATAAAAGAGGAAGCTAGAATTGAATGTCAATTTTAGGATGATAGAAATGTCCTCCATTCATCCTTTATTTCCCCCATCCATCCTTTAAAAAGTCACTCTGTGGTCGTCTTTAAGTGTGCAAAAGGATGAGTTCCTTTTAACGATGATGCATGCTTACCCTCAGTCTGCGGCCGTACACAGTAACCTGGCCACGAGCCTGCTCCTTCCTCTGTCTCCACTCCACCAGGTTGAGGCCGTTGTCGATAGCCAGGGTTACATTCCTCTTGCTGACTGTGGGGTTGGTTGTGCCGGCCAGAAGGTGAGGCTCGGTGTGCAGGGACACCTCCATACCATTAGCCAACACCAGCCGCAGTGAGCCATCCAGACCGATGAAATAGCTGTTCCGAACTTGATCTGAAGATGAAAAAAGGGAAACAGTGGAAAACAATTATGATTAGAATAAGAAGGAGAGAAGAACAATCAGTGTGTCTCCTAGCTGCTGTTAAGTGACTAAATCTAATATTCATCTCAGTGAGACACAAACATAATGACCCAAAATGGCTGCTCAGCAAAAAGAAAGCCTTTAGCAGCAGTATTTAACTGAACCCCTGCAATAATGCTGGGTCTGTGACAACAAAGATCAATAGTGTGAGGCTTCACAGCGCCAGTAAAGTAAAGTTTTACAGCTGTTGCAGCAGCCTCCAGGATATGGGGGAATGAAAACTATCAAGGCTGCTAGCTTGCCTGTGGCCACATAGAAGGCAGGGTGAGCACGCACACCCACTCACACACACCAAACACACACTCACAAGGGATAAATCTGAGCCTGTCTGTTACTGTCCCCAGGTGACGACAGCCTGTGTTCCAGCTCCAGACCAGTGACTAATGTTTCCACTGAGCGTCTCGTGTACATTCATCAGTGAATGCCTCCTCCTTGCCTCCTGCCACTAGACTGACAAAGTCAGGATGAATATTATTCTCATTAAGAACAGTGGGAAATTAATGGCTTGCTAAACACTACATTAATTAGCTGACCCATTTAACAGGGGAAAAAAAATCAAAACAAGAATATAATTTCCTTGTGTCATGTGAAAGCAGCTGTGGCGATTGCTTTAATTTGCTCAGAGAAAAGCAACAACCATTACAAGAACATGTTTTTTTTTTTTTTTTTTTGCTTTTTTTATTGCGCTGAGCATCACAGGATTTGTTGTGCTGCTGAGACATCAGAAACAGGCAGAGGAGGCAGGGCTGACCTTGTACTGGCCCTTACCTCGCTCCATCATACAGACACTCCAGGGGTTGAGCAAAGGTCTCTGGGACAGACCCAACCTCAGGAAGGCCTCTGAGACCAGATAAGGATTGAAATAATGCTGAACTGCAGAGTTCAGACTAATGCATGCATGCAGGTCAGCAGGGGATGTATCTGTTGAGCCCTGACCTTTAAGGAGGATGTAGTCTGCTTAAACAACATATATAATGGAACAGTACACCTGTCCATCATGATCAGAATCACCTTTTCAGTTATATATTACAAGAAAGGATGTTATAGATTCATAAGTACAATGACAGCAGTTTGCAAATTCAGTTGAATAAATATTATTAGTTATGATTTCCTGTTTTTACAGTTATCATGTTTCCTATTGAATAGGTCTTTAACTCTTCTAGATGATGCCATACAGGTTCAAATGGACTAGGTGTATCACATTTATAATATCTCACACTGTATTATCGATAGAGTTATCATATTAAAACCTTGAGCTGCATTAAAGCTCACCCATAAGAGGAAAAACACACAACCAGATGAAAGGAGTCCTGAAGGCGGTGCGGTGGTTCACGTGTTATGTGATCACCCAGTTGCCAGCTTACATAGCAGACAATAGTGAATTAATTAACAGGAGAGTTCCTGGCGCCGCTCTTCTCTCCAGCAGATGTCTAAGACAAGGTCACAATGTGGAGGTGACCAGTCCAGTGAGTAACATCAACAGAAACCGGAGATTGTCATCTTCTGTTTCAGACAAAGCTTTGCAGTGAGTCTGTGGGGCCAGAAGGTGGAGGACATGTTCAAATCCAAACAAAGGTGTAAGAGGGGGAGATTATGTGGGTGTGGCCGTCTTTTAATACAGAAGGAGGTCCGGAAAGTTCAAAGCCATCAACCGGTAATCAATGAACATTGAGCCGGGAACAAAAACATGTAATCAGAATGCCTAAATGTGTGGGACAAATCAGGGGGACTAAGCCACAACATCAGTCCACCCTCTGCCTGCATCCCTCTAATTACATTTCCTAAATCTACCTCGCGTAGCCACCAGCAGAGCTTTATAAATTGTGTTTTGTGACAGGAAGTCAATATATGTTTCCATTCTGGTAAATGGAAGCTGCACAACACATTATATCGAAACAACAAGGAGCAACAAATAGCACACTGCTGCGTGGACGCTCTGTAACTGACATGTGAAGAGAGGTCTTCATTTATAGGACAGCTCACACAAAGCCAAAAAAAAACAACCCTTTTTTTTATTAACCCTAGAAACTAGCAATGAAATAAGTCTGGATACATTTTGAAAAAGTAATCAGGAAAGTTCCTTTATTCAGTACTGAACCACTTTCTGCGTTGTTCCACTTAAAGCTTGTGATAAGCCATGATAGCAACAGGCCACATTGTTCTTTCATACTGAACCAAGGCCACACCAGAAGGGTCTACCCTGTGGACTCCCATCTCTTGAGGTATATATCGTAGTAAGAGGGTCCTTACCTGGGTTACAATCCTCAGAGATTATGAAATATTAGTTGAATAGTCCCTTGGGTGACACTAGTTTGTCTCGGAACGTCAACACAACTTCCATAATATTGACACAAAAAGGTATAAAAAGCAGAATGTTGGATCTCCAATCACCTATCAATCATTGAGACCCATTTTCTTCAATAAAGGTCTCTGTCAGAATATTTGGAAACATTTGTTTATCATTGAAACAAAAAAGCTTAAGTGTGAAAAATGTTTTCAGAAACTTGATTGTAATTCAATACCAGAAGACAAACACCAGAAAACAACAAGGTTATTGTTGATGAAGAAAATGTCAAGACTTCGGAGCTTTCATTGCCACTTAGTACCTTCAAACTTGCATGCTCCTGTGGCGAGCAACATTCAAAGAAACTCACCTTGCATGAGTGTGTAGAAGGTGCCAGAGGCTGACAGGTTTGTAGTGACGGTGATATCCTCTTTGTTGGAACCTTCTGTTTGGATGCGTACCGAGCTGTCTGCATCTGTACGGTAGCTGCTCACTCGGCCCGTGGGGTAAGTGATGTTAGTCAGACGCCCATAACTGTCATACCTACAAAGAAATACATTGACGTGAGCCGAAGAAAGAAAGAGCGCATGTCATCTTGAACTGTGTATAAACAGGAACTATAGCAGAATCATAAGCAGTGTTGAGGCACAAAAAACATCTACTGAGGCTTGTTTCAGGTTTGTTAAATCAAGAGGAAGCATCGTGATCACACATGCAGGTCAGGTTTTCATAAATGCATGTGGGTAAATGCTTCTAATGACTTTGACTGCCATCTTGGGCTCCCCGTGATTAAGAACTCCTATCCAGGATAAACTGTTTGAGTGATAATTACAAGAAGGAATTGGGAGTTTTATATAGAGTCTGATATTTCCCTCTGGTGTCAAACATTTTATAAAAATGTTTTAACACAAGCACTAACCACAGCAACAAATCCATCAGAGCTGGCAGCCGGAGGAAATAAAACTCAAATCTTTCAGCTCTGATCACTGATGTATAACCAACTCAACTTTGACAAAGTGTGCAGCGTTGTCTGCTGCAGTCACTATTCATAAACGAATAGTGTGTACACCAACAAGTTAAACAAGTTTAAACTTTTAATAGGATGTCAAAGCAGCGTTAACGTGACTCAGTTTGTAAATAACTTCCAACAAAGGGTGGAAGCACACAATGTAGAAGTACACAGCTGTTGCCAAGGAAACGCTGTCATGGCCAAGACAAGAAAGCACACACCTTAACACATTCGGAAAAACTGCTTATTAGCTTAAAAGATTAGTGATATCACGTAATCTCATTATACCCTCTATAAAATAGGAGCACTGAAGTGCGACTCCTTGGAGATCTGCAGCATCTCTCCAGCCTACAAATCAGTCAGCTCATCACAAACAGGAACATGAGTGGCCAGATTGTTTCATTTGGCCCGGAGAACACATCAGCATAGAACAATTTAAAATCTTTCAGGTTGTCAGTGTTCCACAATTGGAGTGAGTGAACGGTACATTACTTTGAATGAAGACTTCTATCTGCGCAGTGAATACAGATTGGAAAGCCCTCTTCAATGTTGCTGCCTGCCGTAATAAAGCCTCTAATAAATGAGATGGCGGTGCTGGTTTACGGATATTTCCTCAGCGCTGCCATCTCAAATATCCAATATGGAGAGGAAGAGTGGGAGAGGAATCATCTTCCAGAGATAAATGTTATCTGATCTCAACTATACAAGGGGGCTGGGATCCAAGACACGTTTTAACCCAAGTCTTCCAATTCAGGAAATACTGAATAGCAGAGTCATTCATATCTTAGGCATTTAGATTTCTTCTGAAATTGGCCCTATTTTATCAGTAAGCTATCCCTCTGTTTCCATCATACAGTCAAAGTTTTGGAAAGAAAGCAATAGAGGTGATCCGCACTCTGGTAGAAACAGATCAAACATTGGACAAAGATAATTTTTCCTGTCTGCCTTCAACTCTGCAGAGAGAAAAAAAGACACTCCACAAGACAGAAATCTCATTCTACAGCGACACTGCATGCCCCAGCTTGGTCACTGACCCAAACTCTTGCTTTCTCAATTAAGGCCTTGAGCTGGAGCCTTTCCCCGGGCTTCACCGCTGAGCTCTAATGGCTCTTGCCTGCTTCAACTCAGCCGCCTATTAGCTTGCTTTCTGTGGACAAGAGGGGCATGCGGGGGCAGGGTGCTCAGTGGAAGGAGAGGACTACTTTACCCCTGGATGGCCAAAAGTCCATTCAGATCGCATCACCTCTGTGTCACATACTAGCTCTCTGACCTTTCACGCTGGGACCCAACAATAGACCGGACACTTCACATCAGCATCCCCTCTAGCATACCTAACCTCAGTTTTATGACTTATTCTCATATTTTCACTTCCTCTTGCTGCTGGAGAATCTCAGAACACATCTGCCTGATGGCTGTGAAGCAGTCTGAAGACGGAACACCATGCCATTTCTTCATCTTAACATGATAAAGCTAATAGCATTGATATAATAAACCAACCTAATAACATTCGCCTGAAGCCAGAGACAAAAGCCCATTTGTTACTAAATAAAAGCATTACTGCCCTGTTAATTGGAGGCCAAGTCAACAATGAAACCACCACTGAAATGCTAAATGATTAAACAGATTTACCATAACCCTTGAGCATAATCAGTTATCATTAGAAAGAACACATTAGGAGGTTAGCAGAGCATCTGCGTATATACTAAATGTCAAGGCTGATAAGGTTGCCACGGGTTACAACAGAGAGGCTGTGGAGCCGGTGTCCTTTGTTCAAAGTACATGTTCATGTTTTGTTTCTGTATTCATCCAAATTGTTATAAATGTATTGTCTCTGTGCAGAGGAAGCGGACACACATTAATTAAAATGAGTAAAATGTTTAGAAGTGCACTTTGTTGAGCAGAGATAAATAGAGGGTCTTTTTCAATTCTGTTGCTAAATTATGGTTTTGACCCTCTGGCGGTGAAGTGACCTTCAAAGCTAATTACCGTATTCAGGAAAAACAAACTCTCTTCATCAGCTCTAAATGAAACATAGATGATCTGACTGGCTTGTAGGTGAACGTGAACTCTACATTCTTCTCTACATTTTAGCCTCAATCTTTTTCTAATGCCTTTTCTTGTTTTTCTCATTCACATGCAATTAATTTAGGGTGTTTAATAGGGGTGATGAAATTCAGCATAGTTTCAATAGAGAACTTCTGCACAGACAGTTTATAGCTTTTGCTAATTTCAAACTCCCTTGAAAAGGAAATGAATCAGAGACATATCCACAACTTGGCTCTATTGATTCTCTAGTGTTTGTTAGTAAAAATGTGTTTTTAAATAATTTGCTATAGTAAAAGGGAAACTGGCAAACTGTGTTTATAAAGTTCAACCACAATAGCACGCAGAATCATTCAGTATTTTGTTTCCTGAGACCTTCAGTGGAATTGAAACGAAAAATACTTTGGTTTGAGCGGCACATAGCCTAGAGGTTTAGTCGCGGACCCATGTCCAGAGGATATAGTACTTTGGCAGCGACCGTAGGTTCAAATCCGACCTCGGCCCTATTGCTGCATGTCATTCCCCGCTCTCTCCTCCCAACATTTCCTCTCTCTCTTCAGCTGTCCAATCCAATAGAGGCAAAAAGGCCCCCCAAAATAACTTCTGGGATAATCGGTTGAATTAAGGACTTAATCCAAAATTTGAACTATTATAATCATAATTAAGAAGAAAAAACAAGTTGTTCATTTCTTAGTTTTACAACCACCATGAGTTTTGTCTTAAGGGATCAACAGTTGAACAGTTCAATTATGTTGAACATGACTGTTTGAACAACCCTCGAGGTTAAGCGTCATCCAAATCCAGAATGACGAGTACATTTCTCACATGAACTCCACATGAATGTGTGTCATTCAAACATCACAACAATGTTGGTGTACTTCTTTTTTATGTTCCAAAGTATCGTTGAGACATCGAGAGAAATGTAATAAACATCCCCTGTTTTTATTTCTTCTTCAAACAAGCCCTTCGGGGTCACTGGTGTTAAAATAGCTCTCGCTTCTCTTCCCATTGTGCAGAAAACTATTCTCAGACCTGATATTAAAAGCAGCCATTTTAGAGGAATTCAAAAAGAAATAATTCTAATTTCCACCCACCCACTGGATTTCTCGAAGCCGTAGGCAATTCACTCTACCTTGAGAAATGCCGATGAAACCGACTCAGATGACATCCAAATCAAACACAGGTGATAAATGTCTGCTCAGATTAAACAGAGCGTCTGATTATGTGTCAGAGTGTTATATTCCTCCAGTGAGGTGTAACAGATGTCTGACCAGCCAATCTGCTTAATCACACTTTTTGGAATGACATGCTGTAAGCACGGTATCCCTCGATACAGCATATTAAGCTAAGGGACAGATTGCTTCATAGAAGTCGCGTGGACATGAAATCCTAAGCTTCAATGCAGCAGTATGTAGGAGTGTTTTTTAATTTTCCCTTCACCATCGTGCGGTGAGCCTGCATCAGTTACCACCTCTTGCTTTTTCTATTTTGCATATATCACAAAGTCCTGTGACAATCCTATGGGTTAAGTGAAGCTTGCCAGGAGATATATGTTATTCCTGAACCTCTCCACTCCCAAGAAATGATGGTGTGCCGCCTGTCACTGTAAGCAAAGGTGAAGATGAGGAACACATGATCCAGTAATCCTATTTGGTATGATAACAGCAAATAGGATTACATCGATACTTTAACAGGTCTTGTACTGTGAGTGATATAGACATAAAGGCATACGGAGGTAGTTCATGTGCCTAAACACTAAACTCCGATGTCAAAGATATCCTGTGCTCTCAACATTCACTCACTAAGTTAAGCACCTTAGCATTTTGTGCTACTAAGAATTTAAAGTTTCCATTTCAGATACTGCTGAAATGATATGAGATTTAAGAGATTTAAAAGATCTATTGAGCTGCACTCCCTCTCTGGGGTAAGGCAGAAATCTAAAATAAGCTCAACTGGGATTCAGACTCAGGGTATCAGGATTACAAAGGTGTTTGGCAAATGTTTCTTAACATTACTTACTCAAAGAAGGTTGTCCACCCGTTTTCATTGGTCTTAGTTGCTAAAAGCCCAGAGCTTCCATGGTAGGTCATAACAGCGAGTTCTTGACCCTGGGCGGCGACAGTTTTCAGGGCATTGTTGGTGCCAATGGTGAACCAGAACGTCTGTCCATCAGGGACCATCAGCCACAGTGGCAGTCCTGTTGTGTCTCGTCTGATCATCACCGTGTTTTTGTTCTTATCGGTGATGCTGCTCAGATCTCCTGCTCCTGTGTAGGTCAGATTGTAGAGGTGGTCTCCTGTAGTCAGGCTTTGTGTGAAAATGTGGCTGCCGTTGGAGTCAAACAGGTAGAGTTCATCATTAATGGGGGAGGACACCTCGTACATGCTGAGGGGGTTCAGATAGGGCTTGTTTCTGCGCACATAGCGGATACGAATGTTTCCAAGATCTGCGATATAAAGTTCTCCATCCGGACACACTGCCAGAGATGAGGGTGCATTCAGTTTAGCGTCTTTGGCGTAGCCTTCATCACCAGAGTAACAATCGCAGTTGGCGTCATTCTTGCAGTCACAGCCACTTGGTGCCCCTGCAACCAAGGAGATCTCTCCATTGGTGGACACCTGTCGCACTCGGTTTATTTTCTTTTCATCTGACTCAGCGATGTACAAAATGCCATTGTGGGACACAGCCAGGGCATTGGCCGACTCCAGGGTGGCATGGATGGCCACTTTGCTCATGAGGAAGTGGTCAATCCCGGGCACTTGGCAGTGCATCGGCCGGCCTGCGACAATACGGACCTGGTGGTTTTCTGAGATCTGGAGGACTACGTTATTGTCCAGAACGTACAGGGAGTTGTCCATGGGACTCACTGCCAGGTCTGTGGGCCACTCAAGACGCACCTGGAATGAAAAAAAAAAACACACCAAGAACATCAGCCTCAGGTCAAAAAAACAGGCCATGGTCTTATTGATCCACACATTTTTCACTTTATCAGAGGAAAACAGTCCCACAAGGGAGGAACTGCTTACAAAAAAATACAGGATGCTGTGAAAAAGGTAGGCTACCTCATAGTTTACGCTGAAGGCACAAACACTTTTTGAACGGTTTATTATCTGATAAGGATGAAAATTGCAGCTGGTGTACTATTAAAAGGGGAAATGCAAAAACATGACTGTTTAGATCAAAGATGATAAGAGTGGTTGTGATGAAGGGCAGAACAAGGGGAGATCATTCAAATAATCAGATTTACTGAAAAACACACACACTGCAATCGATCATGAAGAATCTGGACACCCAAGGACTGGGCATCCGCATCCTTCACTTCTACAGGGATACTGTTTTTCCTTACTTTGGGTTATTAATTTTGTAATGACAAGACATTGCTCCGAGTCCTTGAAAAGACACAGAAGCACACTTACCAAATGAAAGTCTAACCTGCCTCTGGCCTCCTAAATCATGACTTATTATTGTGCAAACAATGCATCAGGCTTTTAACAAATTGGAATTATTGGATTCATCCAATTTACCGGTCTCCCTCTCACTTGAGGTCCCATAGGGATCTCTAAGGAACATAATATGAAGTGCCATATTTCAATAGAGGCATTGGAGGACCAACAAAAGGGGACTGATTAAAAACAGGACAAATGCAAAGACAGGTTCAGGTTTGTGGTAACATATTAGATGAGAGAGCAGCCTTGACATTGTTACAAATACTTTGTCCAAGACTCAGATATTGAAGGTAATTAAATTCATGGAGCTATAACTATGGTTGACTATTAAGCTAAGAGAGAAGATTAATCGAACAAAAAATAAAATAAATGCCTCACCTTGACTTCAACGTCTGAGTGTTTAGTCAAGAGCCTTTTTGTTATCCGTTTTGTTTACCAGCTAATGGCACATATTCCTTATTATGATAATGCTGATACAAAGACAAACTGCCAGGAGGCTCCGCTCCATCTGGATCATTATTGAAATGTATGTAAACTCCGGGCACTGGTCATGTTCTTGAATCCCTGACACTCCATCAAACCAAGCTCTTGTCCAGCTTTGAATGAGAAACAGATTTGAACATCACACACAGCTCGCCTCCAATAAACCTCCCACCAACCCCCCCCCCGCAATAAAGAGGAGGTTTATATAATAGGACATTTCTTTGGCCACATACGACAAACGGTACACAGGCCGTGGATGCATGTCGCCTTTCAGTTAGCAGAAAATGCATTTACTTGGGAAATGAAGGGGAGACTTTCAATTTCTTAAAACCTATTTCTTGTCAACACTGGTGGTTAAATATTTTATGAGCCAGAGTGTGGAGTGGCTCGGGGGAGCTGCCTGTAAGGAGGTTTTCACGCCACTCTGACTGATGAGGGGATATTTCCCGAGCTGCTGTCCCATATGCTGTAACCCGATCATGCTCCCCCCGCCTCATACAGTGGGGAAGCTGTCAATTGTGCCTGCCTGACTGACACAGCCACCACCAGCAAAAACCTAAAATACACACAGTCAAGGAAGCAAGTCATGGATTTGAACCAACACAACCCATATCTATTTTTAAAAATATTTGAGTTTGTATTAGAGGTATAATGCCAACTTCCATTAGCATTGGCTTCACTCTTTGCTCACAGCAGCATGAGGTCTTATACATCAGTATTTGAAGTCTCTCTCAGATTTGAAATGAATGTCACAGTCAGAGACTTGATAAAGCTTTCTGAGGCTGCTAACACCCTTGAAATGTGTTCAAGTGATCTTGTTTCAAGACATGGCTTCCCTCTCAATTTAAGTTTGAACTCAGCAGGGGAGGCAGATGAGATTTTCAAGTCTTGAAAAAGAAAATGAGACACATTTCTGAAACAGCGAGGGCCCAAGGCTTGGGAATAAACAAATGAATGCATTCCTGAAAGAGGTCAAACTATTGTCCTTTTGCATGATAATAAAAAGTTACAAGGCAGAGCGGTTAAATAACTAAATGCTGCAGATGGAATTAAGAGTGAATTGTGCTGCAGAACACTCACTGCACAGATGGCATAGCCAGATAACAATGACCTCATCAAAAAAGAGAGAAAGAGAACCGACTTTAAAAAAAAGAAGAAGAACAGGTGAGGTACAGCAAAAGTAATGACCAGTATGATAAGCCTTCTCCAGAGGAACTCTGGTTCTAAGTGAGGGGATGGGGAGTGTTTGAAGTAGGAAGCTATGTGCCCTGGATGAATTTTTAATGGATGCTTTTTACTGTCTGAGTGTCTCTGGCAGAGCTTGTGCGATTTGTCATCGTTGTAGAGCTGCAGTCAGTCTGCCTGTGTCCTCGCTGTCTTGGAGCTGGGATGGCGAGTATCTATAGGCGCTTGTGATTGTGTGCGAGGGTGGGGGTGGGTGGGGGGGCAGCAAGCACAGGTCATAAGGAGGGAGTTCCCCTGAGGCTTAAAATGGGCAGCTGGAGGCTTTGCCCCTCCACCAGATTCATCATTTCGCACACTCAGAAAGCTTCTCTACACTGGCATGACAGGCCCCCCACAGGACCAGTTTGCTAGCCATACCTCATAACACACACGATGGAACAAGATACAAACGAGTGCTTGCACATGGAGCAAAGCTGATACATCACTCACATCTGATTATGAAGACCCAGCAATGCGCTTTAGTTTAGAGAGACAGTAAAACAATACATGTTGTAGATTGTTGTAATAAATAACACACAACAGAAAATCTTTTAAAATCAGAATTCATCCTTTTTAAAAGAAATTGCTCTAAAATATCATGGTGGGCTGCAGTCTACAAAGTCATGTGGAACAGAGATTCATTCGTATACACAGTCTACAGCTACAGATTAGCAAAAAAATGGGATGTCCATATTTTGTGATAGATCATGTTGCCCTAAATAAAAATAAATATCTAACATTAACTGCAGTTATGCTCCAGTGTCACTGAGCTAATGTTTTTTGAGACATTCATATAGTTTCTGCTGCTTTATGATGGAGCTACTGGCAGGTTTTAAATGACAGATATGACTTGAAAATGGAAGTGTTAAGACATTAACGTCATCAGATGCTATTTGACATGGTGAAACAAATGAAAGAGCAACTCTTAACATTTATTTAATGAATGAAGTTGAGTTCTGTGTGAGTGTCCATGCCACCTGAAGTGATACAAATCTAAGAGCCAAGTTAAGGGGGATGTGTTCAGTCTGTTGCAGTGGTCTGGTACATATGTGTGTTTTTGAATATGTGTTTGCATGCATCAGTGAACATGTGTAATTGAATTGAGAGCCAGTGAGGTTAAAGGTCATTTTGATGGTCCCCTTACAGCTATAGGTCGGGAGGTCTTCTGCTCTACCGGCTGTGTGTCCACTTGACACAGCAAGACACTTCCAGTTTCCAAATTGCTCTATACCCTGGTGCTGTGTTTATTTCCGTGCCTGCTGGTTCCCCAGCCTAGCCTGAGTCCCATTTACTGCTCATTTTCATTTTTATTTTGATTTGCTTGTTAACCACAAGATAAATTACATTTTGTAATTCACACAGGCACAGCAGAGTTTTGGGCTGCTCTCCTGAAATCCTAATCTTTTGGACCAAAGTCATCCATCGCTGCAAATTCAGACCCTCCTTTTTTTAATGAAGTTAGTAACATCCTGAGTATGAATGTTTTCATTTATTCCGAGCGCAATAAACGGATACAATTAAAATATACCACAAATTGCCATCTACACACGGGCACGTTTTATTATTTAGTTTGGTCTGTTTCATATTTCAACACATTCAAAAGTGTTTGCTTTCTGTCATGCTGCATAACGCACTTTTTGTTTGCAGTTATAAAGACATGACCTATCTTGTACTATTTCCAAGCATTCAATTATGATAAATCCCAGATACAGAAACCTTACTGACATGAGCTTTAATGAACTCAGGAAAACCATGAAATCCCAGCACAGTGAAATGCCTGAAGGCTTTAACTGACTTCCTTTACCTGCGTATCTTTCACAAGTCCAGTAAATATAAAACAAAGCCTATGATGCAGCCAATAAACAAATGTGGATCAAATCCAGGTCAAAGGCAACTGGATCCAGGCGAGGAGCCTCCAGCTACAGAAACAAAAGCTCACATGGAGATAGAAGCATCTAGGAGCCAGGGTCAGTCAAGGTGAATGGTGTAGGCTGAGAGACAAGAAGACACATGGCGGCTGCCCGGGTCAGAGAGGTCGTACCTGAGAGATGTCCATCACAGAATCACAGCTGAGGGGTCGGGCAGAGGTCAGGTCATTGAAGCCCAGAAGAGTAGAGATGATACCATTCTGATCAATCCTGCGAATCATGGTCCCATCCACAAAGAAGATTATACCGTACTTATCCACCGTAATGCCTGCAGATAAAAAGGCAACCAATGGTCAGGAGAGGAAATATCCATCCGTTATTTTGTTTATCTGCAGCTTAAAGCACCACTAAATGACAATTACAGTCTATTCACTGCAATGAAAATTAAAGACTTATCACTGCAATGACAACTAATGGGAGGATTGATTTTGGGATCCATAATGGAGAACAATAGAAACATCAAATAGATGAAGAGAACTGTATGTATTGATTCAATTACAACTTAAATTTCATCAATACACTCTCTTTCTTGTTTGCTCTCTCGGCCTTGAGGAACAGTGAATCTGATATTATCCATAGCTGTGCTTGTTTTCTGCTTTTTTTTTAAATTACAGGATCTGTAAAATATCACTTAAGAAGCATCTGGTCTACTAGACTGTTCAAAAGATGGAAGAAATACAGTGACAAGATAAATTGAGTTTTGTAATAACTGAAGCCTGGGGGCTACATGTATGTCGTGAGTGATGGAGGTCAGAGAGGAGAATTGAATGCATGGAAACTGAAGAGTATTGATCTAGCCTTTGGGACTTTTATCAACAACTATGAATTCTGGTGTACTTGAAAGGGTTACACAAAACAAGACCCACAACAAAACTGTAACAACACACAACATGAATTACAAGAACTTCCATACATTACCTCTGGGGTTAGTAAGAGTGGCCTCTACAGCCTTTCCTCCATCCCCGCAGCGACTGTCATCATATGGGAGACATTGGTCTCCAGTACCCGCCAACAGCTCCAGATTCTTGGCCACATCTTTCACAACATTCAGGGATTTCACCTTGAACACCTTCCTGCTGCTGGTGTCCGAAAGGTACACAGCACCGTTCACCGGACTGGTGGCCAGGTAGTACTTGTGAGCGGGGCTGTTGCTGAGAGGAGGAACAAAAAAAAAAAAGAGAAAGAAGCCCAAGTCAATAAAGCTGGAAGGGCTACAGTGCTCTCAATAAGAAACATTGTGTAATACAATTAAAATGGATTCAAAAGCCATTCAGGGAGTCAATTTGGCACAGTTACAGTTTAAGCCAAGGACATGGGAAAAAGAAAAACAGAATGAGATTCAATGTGGCAAAATAGAAAGAGATGAAACATGACATCAGGGTGAAGCTCATCTACGATACAGTCAGCCTCTGATGTCAAAAGAGAGAGGACACTCCAGTCATCTGCATGATGTGTATAGACCAATCCAGGGTGGGCATATTGGAAACACTGTATAGTGTTATTGAAACACTGGTTAATGTTGCAGGTCACAGTTAGTGAAAAAACAGGAGTGTGAAGGCACGTATTTATTGAGGTACAGTGGATCCTTTAACAAAACTCTTAATTACTCCCTTTACCCTGATCCATCATATCTCTGAGTGTAGCTAGAAGAATATAAAACTCCACTGTGTATACAACAGCAGCAGCCTGGTTATAGCCAGAAGAGTGCAAACAAGTATGCTTTCAGTTTCTCCTGGGACCTGTTTTTTTTTTTTTTTGACTAACACAAATGCATAGCTGAAGCAACAATCCAAACACACTATGCATCCATCAAGCTGTGATTCAAGCACAGAAAAAAAATATTTTATTAAACTTCAAACCAAGTCAACAAAGTAATCTTTCACAACCACAGGAGGTTTCCAACCTGACAGACACACAGCAGACCCAAATAGAACCATCCTGCTGTGGCGGGACGCATAAATGCAGGCGCATACTCCAGACAAAACGGGTCTCACAACAAAGATGACTTGAGACGAGTGCATGGTAGTAAATGAAGTATCAGCAAGGACATCCTCCATTAGAAATCTGCTCAGGCGTACGCTAAAACACATGATTTTCAGAGTGTTACTAAAAACAACAACTGCAGTCTAAAGGACGCTGGAGACTATAGTTAGACCTGATCTTTATTTTTAAAAGCAGATTTTTTTTTGAAAGCTTTGACTTGTCTTTGTTCCCAAAATGACAACACACGACACAAATGATAATTAGGCAAGAGGTCCTTCCTCTTAACAGCTGACTGCTCTTAATGAACTCGCTCTCCGAGTTGATGAATTGATTGTCAGGGAAAGCACAAACAACGCTGTGGCAAATCTATCAAAGAGAGAAATCACTTCAACTTTAGTCAGGAAGAAAAGTGTGAAAGTTTGGTGGATTTCAAAATGTGTTGCTATTAATATACTAATAGTGACACTCCGCTACTACTACTTATTATAATAACTTAAAAGAATAATGAAAGTAATCACTTAATGTTGTTTAGGTGGAGGCTTCAAATAAGCTCTTTGAGATTTCTGCCCCTTCCTGCACTGAATATTCTCTATTTTGTTATTTATTTAATATACTGCATGTTTATTTTTATACTGTGAAAATAAATAAATACTTAAATGAGTCCTTTCATGCAAAGAGGCAGCCCAAAGTGCTGACAAAACATGATAAGAGAAAACACACAATAACAATTAAATCGAGATTAAAAGCATTTTGAGACAATAAATAACTTGAACTGACATTGTAAACTGAGCAGTGATTTCTGTATGCTCTCTGACTAAACTAAGATGTTTTACGTTGTTTAGTGATGTAGTGTTTAGCGCCACCTTAGAGAGGAGGGTTATTAGAGGAAGGTACAGCACAGTTCTGCCAGATCTGATAAGCATTACTGAGAAACCTGTCAGCAGGGCGTCATTCAAAGTGGATTAAGACTGAATTTCAACTATAACCTTGAGGGTTCTTTTGGGGCTTATGGTCGGTATGACAGCGCCAAAGCTTATATTTTTAGAATACAACAAGAAGAAAAGACCTGTGGGTCGGTGGAATTGTCAACTCTAATAAATAATTTTAAATGACAATTGACCTTCAATGAATCAGTGATGACAGGACACTGCAGCAAACCTCGGGCACACATGTCACAGCCAGCCCGCTGACCAAGTTGACTGATATGTTAGTCTCCAGCACATTTCAGGTACACGCGGCTAGCTTTGAAAAACAACTGCTGTCTCAGAGTAGGTCAATAGCAAGCCTCAATAACTGGATTCTACTTTGCATTCTATCTGCCATGTGCAATCAGCTGATACCTTATCAGCTCCCAGTTGCATGTAGAACAGCGTTGATCCCCCACAGTGTATGAAAGTATAAGGCGTTATTCCCTGACCTTGAGCTACGGCCATACACTCCATCTATATTCACTGACAACATCTAGTTTGTAGAAGATAATTGGATTTCGCTACATGCTGGCAAGGCAATGGAGGAAGCATGGTTGGAGTGCATGGGGACATCCTTAGTAGGGGGTCAATGCACATTGTAGTGAGATCACCCACCTCCCAGTCCTATTGTTAGTTCCCTCATGAAGGAGAGGCAGCCACCCGTTCTGTACAGACACATGCTGTGTTTTCCTTCATAAATCTCCTTTAAATATGCAAATGTATTTCAAGCTCTGAGACCAAACTTACGTTTTTGCCCTTGCGAACACTGATCAGTCTGTGTATCTTACTAGATGTAAGCTTTCTGATATTGATGTCCTGCTGTTCTATGTAGAACAGGGGCTAGTTGTGAGAGAAGTAGATAGGCCCACACACCTGCTCAAATGGCACACATTGTTCTTTTCAATCGTTTGGACCAGAGGTCCTCTTCAGGTGATCATTTTATATTTATATTTAAACAAGGTGATAAAAGGTTGTTCCATAGAGGAAGAGAATCAAAAAGAGCTTCTAATTGTTTTGTCAATTCGGTCATTCCAGAAAATATCTTTTCATCTGAAGTTGACTACATGTAACCCCGCTGAGCATTTGACAGAAAATCAATACATCAGTCCTTTGCCTGAGCCATTGTCAGTAAAGACAGCAGACAAAGATTTCCCCTACAGTCACCTATCAGGCTATCACTGAAAACTCAGTCTTTGTATATTTTCTTTTTATCAAATGTTGGGACTTGTAGTTTGTGGTGCAGCTGGCATGTCTTTTATTACATAGAATTGTGTTGAACAAATAATCAAGGCACCTTTCCCTTTCCAATGTAAGTCAGTTTATGAGCACCATTATCTACAGTCTACCAATGACTAAAGAATTGTATTATATTCTATTATCACTTCACTGACATCATTATCCAATATGGAAAATGATTCTTTTCATAATAGATTGGATTTCTTGCAATGAGATTTTGTTGTATTGCAGTGGTGTAGCAATGTGTACTTAATAACTAATGGACAATGTAAGTTGGATAATGTAATTTGACCCCCATTAAAAACCAAGAGGAGAAAATGCAGCCTTTACTGAGCCGTAAATCAGCTACATTCTCTCTCTGCCATGGCAGAGTGAAACACACTGTACTGAACATGGCAGTGAACTGGGAGATTAAATAAGCTCAGAGGACATAGTTAAACCACCACATCTACAGCTTTATGAGAATGGGAATTATAAAAGGCGGTCACAATCTTAAAATGGGATCTTTTAGTTGCTCACAAGTACAGATCTGAAATGAGCTTAAAAGGTCACCACAGCATCGACAAGATTTTACCCTTTCTATATTAACTCAAGCAAATACCGTGTTGCTTACCTATGCCTGAAGTCTTTATTTCTTTCAGAGTTTGCCAAAAGGAGCAGAAAATGAAAAAGGAAGAGAAGGAAATGTTAGTTGTTAGAAGAGAGATTTAGAAAACAGTTGTTAGTGAATAGAATTAATGGAGAAACATCATAAATTGTCCTTTATAATCTGAGGTATTTATAAATTGTATCTATTTATCCAAGTCTTTATTGAAATGTAACTAAATGTTTATTTTCCAGTAAGGCTTTTGTCGAGTGTCAACCTCATTACGTCCTCTTCAGCCAGTACCACGGACACACTCCATGTGATATAGGTGAAGGAGAGTGAAAGGATCATCAATCCTAGGCCTATAGGGTATTTATGTCTATCTTAATCCACCTCAATGGTTTATGACCTGTGTGCAAGCCCATCTGAGCTCAGGGTCCTGATTGAATGTTGTTCGGCTGCTCCTCCGTTACCTGAGCTCCAGGACGCTGGTGACATTCCCCGTGGTGAAAATCCTCCTCACATAGTTGAAGTCGCCCACGTACAGACTTCCATCTGAGCCGCAGGCCAGAGCCACGGGGGCCAGCAACTTGTTTCCTTCAGCAAGACCATTACAGCTGGGGCAGGAGATGCTGCGCCTGCGCCCATTCCCCATCACACTGCCAATTACAGGAGGCTGCTGGGAGATGAAGACGTTCTCTCCATTCCCCATGTGTAGAATACCTGATGACGGCAGAGGAGAGAAACAAGTAACACCTGCAACCTGTTCAGGTCAAGCACAGTCTTGACATGGTTCTCTGATCTTTGAAAAAAAAGAGTAAAGAATATGTTAACGGTGGCTGATGATGTTATTTAAGCTGCTTTCACAATGTAGGAAGCACACAGAAAATCTTTATGTGCAATAAGGAATGCAAACCCATTATAATATATGTATTATATATGCATCCCATTATTGCATTATTTATTACTGAAGTAGAAATTAGCTGAAATAAAAACTGTTGATAAATTTCTAAAAATAATTCAGGACTAGACTTGTTCATCTAACATTTTAAACCTCTGTCTGTGGAGTAGTTTAATTTTTAAACTAATTAATATTACTGATGCTGCCTGACGTGTGTCATTATGCACATTTCAGTAAACAGAAGTCTGGCAATAGGCATGTGGAAACTGAACTGTTTCTTCTTCTGGATGGTTTACTATTTTCTAAAATATGACGATGGGAACTACTCATGCTGAATCTCACCTCGCGCTCTAATGTTGCAGGTTCCCTGACTCCTCGCGGTTTAAAAGTACATTTTGTGAAAAATGTGTAAAAAATCATGAAAGATAACAAATTGGCAGATTAATAGTAAATACACATATCTGAATCCACTGAACTTGCAAATATGTCTGTGTGTGCACCTCTGCAAACTGCAGCCATGAAATTGCTTCATTTGCAGTCTGTGTATGCAATAAGAGGTGGTCTGAGCGGATGGAAACACAGGCACAATTTGATGCCAAAATGGGAACCAAAAAGCCCTTGGCACAAGTGGAATCTCTTGGAGCGAGAATTGTACCACACAGGCACAATCACAGAAGATTGACTTGCTAAGATTAAATGGCTTTGTGTTTGCCGTTCTACTACCACAGGCTCTGCACATGAACAAAGCTCGAGCCATGGCAGTACAGTGTAAGTGCAGACATTCAGGCAAGTGTCCACACACATGCACACTTTGTTGAATTAGTTTTGCCAATCTTGTCTTGGAAAATTTCCAAGTATGTAAATTTAAAGATGCTTCTGCTGCCCAATCAATCTAATCATATTTGAAATTTAGCATCTGCATGTCTGATGTAGTTTTCAGGCTTCTGATGGTACTTGGTGATCTGAGTTCTCTGAGCAGCACAACATTTGGTCTATCAGAAAAGATCAGCCAAGCATCGCCTTCCTGGGACGTGATTTAATCTTAGGGGCTGCTGCTGCTGGGAGCAGCAAACTGACAGCAATTAAATTAGTGATGATTTTAAAAATGCTGGGCATGAACAAGACATGGAGATGCCAAAGGGTGGGTAAGGGGCAGAGGGACTGGCAGCGGAGATGGCAAAAGGGGCAGGGACTCCTCCAGACTGCACAGTCGGACTCAGCAGGTTTAGAGGGACAGATCAAAGTGCCACCTTCCTAAACGCTTTTCATGTAAGTGCACCTCATCTGGTCTGATAAGCCCTTCAAGTCAACATCAGACGGTGAATCCTAACTAGTGGCAGGTGCTGCTCAAAGTTTTTTATTTTCTTCATTCCTATTACTGCCTTTCAGGAGTAATTTGCTGGCAATCCGACCCCCCTCCCCCCTAAAAATGGACAGCGGTATTAAAAAAAGTCAGATCTATCTGATGCTAGATGAAATAGTTGAATTGAAAGACCCTTAAAAAGCTACAGGCAGAGAAGACCACTTAATTTTAAACACGGCCTCAGGCACTGGGGTGGACACGGTGGTACTTATCTGCACTCGTGCACACTCACGATGATATGTTTAAAATGCAATAAGGAGTGACACGGTGGAGGTTTGTTAATAAGTGGCTAAATGGAAAATTGTATGATAATTTTTAAACTGTCAAGCAGGTTTACCTGATGCTCTCTCTTACTGGTTCGTCTCAAGTTTCCCACGCAACCAGGACACTCCCACTGTCATTAGCAGGGGATTGCTTAAATGCTTTTTCCTCTAATGCGGACAACTGATGCCATCTGTAATGTTAATATGTTTTTTCCAATGAACTTTACTCAACGCCTCTTCATTAGCTATGTGACAAATGACAAGACTGTGGCGTTACAGACTGTAGCACTGCTACTGGATGAAACTACTATCCTCTCTTAACTGAAAGAAATCTATTTTACTTAGTAATCATTCATTCTGTAAGCACGTTAATGCTCCAGGAGTGACATATTAAGGACTTGTGACACAAAATGTTATGTTGTTAACATATAACAAAGTCTAGTTTTAGGGGTTAAGGATATTTTATTTGATACATTTATCTCTTTAAAAGGGAAATTAAATGAAATCACACTCTTTATTATTGTAATTTTCCTGATATTATTGCATTAAGTGAACAGCTCATTTATAAAATTCTCAACAATTCTCCCTGAAGTGTACATACTTGCAGACGAGTGTTTTTACCTTGAACAATAGAAAATCCATGTGCTAAATTTCAGATGTCTTGCAGTTTTAAATGATCTTTAGAGTAGGTGTTGAAATGAACAAACGGCTGAGAACAAACATTTAAAAAAGGGATTAGTAGTTGACTCACCACTCTGGATATTTAAAGCATGGTGCTTGTCTATCGTCCATCCTCCCAGTTTGGAGGCAGTGGTTTCATAGCCCTGAAGAACAGCAGTCCTCTTCTCCCATAGAATCAGGTCTGGACATGATTCATACTCAAAACCCACAGATACTAGGAAACAAAGCGAAGATAAGCAAACCACTTATATTGCGGGGAGAAATCCCCCCCCCCCCCCAAAAAAAAAAAAAATGCATTGTGCAACATTGATCACTTACCGAAAGCCTCAGATAAGCCATAGACCTTCTGGCTGTACACATCTGCCTTATCCCACACAAAGTCATATGCGAGGTTTGGGGCTGCAGGAAACCATTTTCTGAACAACCTGCCTTCCACAGCCACCATGAGGTGAACCTTCATCAGGTTGAAAGGAATTGTGGGGTGGGTGAGGGTCACCCTCAGGATTGACTTGTAACCTGGGGTCCTACTGCTTAAATAGCCAAGTTTCATTTCTGACCCTGGTATGGGCACTTCCTCCTGTAAAGACTATGAACAAAAAACAAAAAAAAACAAACAAAGCTGGCTGTCAGTGATTGCAAATATTAAACTAACAGAAACGTTTTCCTTTAGTGTTTTAGGTAGAGTATATGATGTGCCTCTGCAGGCTCTTTATTTTGTGTAGCTTGTCAATTTGTGACATCTGGTCGGTGGCTGCTACGACCTTTGTATCATATTTATTAGAGCCTTGTCTACAGCCAAATATATGGACCCATGGGAAGATAAGAAACATCAATTAGAGGACAATTATGTGTGTATTACAGGGAATCCGATGAAAGATTTCTTCATTATGTACTCCTGTGAGTATTTTTCATAATTGATTTAATAATAGCAAGTCCTTCATTGGGGCAATATTCCTTCCTGCAATCCATATGACAAATGCATCAAAGCATTGCCCTTGGGCTTGGAGCTTGCACAGTGCGATAATATATTAGGTAATAAAAGTTAGTTTAGCAAGCGCCAACATTGTGGCCTTAGGAAGTTTCCACTGAGGTTAGATCTGTAATGTCTCGATAACACACTAGAAGGTCAGCACTAAGACATTGCACCGTGATCAAAGACTGACACCATTGGTTTGGCTGACTCAGTCATTCCTGCTCTAATTGATTCACATTATTGCTGCCTGTCTCCAGTGAACAACACGGAAAGTAACAATTGAAACAGCTCCTCAAAGCGACCTTGGTCAGATGACATTTTAGTTATGATGTGTTTCTTTTTTAAAATGTCCACAAAGCTCTGGCTCTGCTGGAGCTCTGTCCGGTTCATTGATCTGGATTCCTTTTTTAAAAAAAGAAAAGTGTAATTTGGATGATGTTCCCGTATGGTGCACTTAAAAAAAGCAAAGACAAGGCTCTATAAATAAACAAGGCTGTGTTCTAAATTCACTGATACGCCATAAATCCCATGAAGCAAAGTAGGAGACAAGTAATTAGAGAAGGGCACCGAGATGCCTGCCAGACCCACAGTAGCCGCACATTCACCTGCAAACACAAGTTCATGCAAGAGCGTGCTTGCACCAACAAGACACATTCACTTGTACATAGATATCAACATAAAATAAAAAAATGAAGTTTCATGTGTGTGTGGTAGGTGTGAGACTGCACGATGTACATTGTAAATCGCCAAGGTTCTGCAGACAATTTACACAAGGATAAAATCACAGCACTGCCATAAGACAGAGTCACTAGTACACTTGTGCATGATTAATAGTCTTCAGAGTCTCTCCCTGATGTGTGGAATAAATCATTTGGAGAGACCCATGCAGATCACAACCTGCAGGGCAGTGAGGAGGGTGGGGTGCAGGGTATTCACCTGGATTTCGGGAACGACGGTCCGCCTTTCCGAGCAAGAGCCAGCGAATGCTGTGAGCGGAGCAGGGGACACCACGGGGCTGGGCCGCGTAAAGCTGCTGAGGTCACAGCTAGGGATGTCGTTCTCTTCATGCCGCATGACGATGGTATCCATGACAAAGAAGCGTCCCCATGGCATCCAGAGAGTGTGCTCCTGGGTGATGAATGGAGAGCGCTCAAAGTGCAAGGCTACAGCCATGCCCCCATTGGTCACCAAGTCAAAACTGCAACACAGACATTCACAGTGTCAGAGAGGATGAATGTAGATTCACATCAGGTTAAGATTGGTATTATGATTTTAAAATGAATACTATTAAAATCCCAGCAGTGCATCCAATATATTAAAAATTAAGGAGTAGACAAAGATTTGGCAAGATTTGGCTTTTCTAAATAAGTGAAGTAATAACATAATAAATGTTTGATTTTACAAAGAAGACTCTAAAGGAAGGATGCAAGTTTTTTTTTTACCATTATCATGCAGGCACACAGGCTATGAACAAATAAATGATCAAAATGTTTGAAGCAAAACCTCTTAATAAATGTCATAATATGAAGGTTGTTTTTGAAGAAAAGTTGATGAAAGCTTTAGGTCAAAGCTTGCCAGTTTACATGTGTGTGTAATGCACTGCTCCTGTGTTCACTTTTATATGTGAGAGAGAGAGAGAGAGAGAGAGAGAGGGAGAGAGGGAGAGAGGGAGAGAGAGAGAGAGGGAGAGAGGGAGAGAGAGAGATGTGTGCAGCAGGATAGAGGTAGCAGCCACTTCACTATCGATCCCTTAGATGAAGGCTGTCCACTCTTACATCAGTCTAAAAGCCCTGCAATGCAATCCCATCTACTGTTGCTTTTTAGGGCCTCTGGGCTGACCTAAGAGGGTCTCAGTAAACAGGCTACACTCTGGTGATTTTGTCATCTAAAACTGCTGAATGGTGACAACAGCCGTCCTGCACCTGCACTACGTGTGCAGCTCTTGTCGCTTCTCTTTAAGAACCAATTAGCACCTGGTCACCTACGGGCCCCGGGGACAGGGCCTATTCCTCACACGGGAAGCATCTTTTCCAAATTACAGGTAAAAAAAAGTAGGTCCAAATAACAGCCTCTAAACCAGGCAACCTCCCTCTTGGTTTGAGCTACTATAAAAAGAATCTGCTTATCCTAACTTCCCTTGAGGGTAAACATTTGATTGGCTTTGGTGATAAACAAAGGTTTGTTCCGCCCTTGGTGTTCTGCCCTTGGATCGGTTTGAGTGGAGCCAGTTTTTTTTTTTTTTCCAGCAGTGTGGAGGCTGCAGAAAAGATGGGAGCTGTGATAGTGGTACTCTTGCACTTCTATGATTCACAAGTAGCAATACAACTGCAGCAGGTCAGTCTGTATGACACCTGGAAGGATAAGGCTACGCATGCTCCAAACACTGCTGGACAGGTACTCATGGCCAGTGTGGCAAATCGATGGAGTGATTCACTGGCTGTTATCAATCATGACAACAGCCCGGAGCCATGTGACAAAACTTATTAGGCTACCTGTAACAGCCTTGCTTGCTTGTGCCCTCAAGGAATGCATCAAGCTCAAAGAGTTAACCCCGCCAATGAACTTGCCGTGCCACATACAAATTATACACAATCATACCCCAGCCAGTATATATTCTAGTTATGAAATGAATCATATCGGGTTGAGTTGAGAGTGTATGAAGGACACTGTTTAAAAGTTACAATGAAAACGAGCTGCATAGATAGATGTCATATACACTTGTGAGGCCCTAAACTAGAGTAAGTCCTCATTCATTACATTTCAACTCATCAAAAAAAGGAAAAAAGGAAAGTGGCCAGAAATTCAGTAATATTGATTATAAGTTCCTTGGAGATTTGTCCATTAAATAGTAATAGTAAATAAGAATCTTTGGATGTTAGAAAGGATTTTTAACTATGCACAATGTCGTTAAGTGTACGCTAGATTCCCTTTTTACATCACAGCTCCAACAGAGATCCTTAAAGGAACCTAATAATGTAATGACCTGCAATCCACATCAGCATTTTACAGATGAGTGGGGGGAAAACATAAAAAGGAACAGGTGTGCATCAGTGCTCAGCCTGACAGAAAATGACTACACAGCTGTAAGAAACTAAATGAACCTCTTTTGTCTAGGTCAGAAAACTTTTCAACACAGTGAGAAGGTAATTTAAAAAACTAAGCCCTTTGACAATAAAGAACACATCATAAAAAATGAGTTGAGACAGCTTTCCCATTTCTAAGTGGCTGAACAGGTGCATTTCTGATTTCACGCTGCACTGAGCCAGTTTACAGTGATTGCAGGGGAGCTGCAGGAGAGTGGGCATGTTTACAGGGGAACCTGGGAGATGGAGTAGTGTTTACACGTATGCTAGAAGGAAGAGGAGAGTATAGAGTTTTGTGGACAAAAACAGGGTGATGCATAAGAAAAATGGGACATGCATAAGTGGGAAAAGGATAGAGATGAGGGAAGCCAGTGCAGTGGAAAAGGACTTGAGATCTGAACATGAGGAAAGGAAAAGGAAAATAAGTGAAAGAGAAATGCCCAGAAAGAAAAGGCTTAGGGCCGTTGGGAAGATGGAGGTGGGGAAGCATGAAGAGATGGAGGAAGGAGAAGACGATATGAGAGATTATGCATTTTTTGTTGTTGTAAAAAATATGAAGAAAACAGATAGTGACAAGAAGATGGAAGGAATGAGGAAAAACAGGAAGTATCTAGTATCTAGATAAATAAAACAAATAAAAAATATAGAAAAATCTAAAACTTGTGGCAAAGATGTTACCCTTCAGAGTGTCTGTAACTGAGAAAAGTGTCAGGAGGATCGGTTCACAAAGCCTTGCTAATATTAACTTCTTTGATAGAAACAGGGCAATTTGAGGTTGTAAAAGTGTACCTTATGTGTGAAAAAAATCTCATCAGGACAGACATCAGAGAAAACATTCCCCCAAAGTTTCACTCTCTCACCTTCCTCGGTCACACTAAGAAACATGTCTTAACCATTCTGAGTGTTTTGTCCGGATTTCCAAGAGAAAATCTCCTGGTGCCAAAGCAGCTGGCTTGGAGTCATTCAAAGAAATCCACAGAGAAAGCTCAGACTTTTTCCACTTCTACTTTTGGAACACTTTGCCTAACAACTATTGTCTCCCTCCAAAAGGGGTTCATGTGGTACTGCAATGAAGCAAAGAAGTTGGGAAATTGACTGATTGACACAGTGTGGTGTTTCAGCAGAAGAAGATATCCATAACCTTGTCTTCTCTGTGGAAAACACTCATTGCATTATCATTCTATGGACATAGAGTTAACTTACCACACAACTGTGCTCAAGTAAAGATATTTTTCACTAAATTCATATTTGGGCAAAAAAAGTATGTTTGGGTTACAACGACAGAGGAGACAGAGGAAAATAAATGAATTGCAGGTCTTTGGCCTTAACTTAAACGTTTCACTTTACTCTCTAAATCTTCCTTTGTGGAATAAATAATGTCCATCTGCACCGTGTTTCATTGCCCCTGTGAGCTGCTTTGAATTGGCATATTTTATTCTTTCCCCTCCCTGCTGCTAGTGAAGCATAACTTATGAGAGTACCAGAAGGGCTTTGTTTGATTTCTCTGGGAATTGAGCCGAGAACTCCAAAATTGGACCAAATGAAAGCACGAAGCAGATCAATGGCAGCACAGTGTGCAGTGGCAACTGTGTTTTCTTCAATCATTAGAATTCAGCACAGCTAAAAAAAAAAAACACTATTTTATAAAAAAAATAAATATCACTGTCACATTTCTGCACATGATATTGAGGTTGCATTTAGTGGAATTTGCCCCCCGTCGTTTGGTTCTGTGTGAGGGCCATTATAATGAAATGGGCTCTTACCTTCCATCTTGTCTAGTGATTGTGTAACCATAGGATGGGCTGTTGATGAAACTGATGTTGACTCCAACCAGAGGTGTGCCATCCGAGGTCACCACTTGTCCACGGATTACACAAGCATGGCTGTATGGAAGCAGGAAAGACCAACACAGTTAAGGAGCAATACTGTATAACAATTATTAGCACCCCCCTGACTTGACTCAGAAAACAGTTGGACAAGGGGGAACTCAAATGTACAGCCCAGGCTTGTACAGGTGTAGCTATTGATAACCAAGTGTACACAATCATGATAGAAATAAAGAGCATAACATTTTCTCTAAAAGTAAGAGAAAAGAATCAAGAACAGTAAGGTGGAGGAAAATATACAGTATGCACGGATGTTATCCAAACATAAACACTGTACACAACAAAAGCAGCAACAGCAGAAACAGAACCTTACACCTCCGAAGAAGTCTCAAAGGGGTTTTCTACCCAGAATGGAGGGATAATGAGATAAGGAAGGTTTACTTTGCTTTTGCTCTAATTAAAAAAGGAGGATTTATCTTTTCCATTATTGAACTCAGGAGAGGGAAATAACAGGGCTGCAGATTGCAAGACTTGCTTGGCTGGTTATCAAGTCCTTGACAGATTTCTAGACTGGCATCAGGTCTCCAAAAAGCTGCATAAATTATATCTGATTATCAGTCCCCACCAATCAATAGTTGAAAGCCATCCAAATTCAACTCCCAATCTCACTAACCCGATGAAGATTAGACCTTGCTGTATCATGTCTCCTTCGTCAAATTCTGCCCTGGTCATTAGTGAGGCCAAACTAATGGTCAGCCATCGTTTCTGTTGTCGTTTGCAAAAAAAAAAAAAAAAAAAAAAAATCCCCTAACAAATGCCTCACTGCCACTTCTTCATTAGAGCATGGCTATTTTTAATACATTTGGGTCTTAAACACTGCCACGGACTGGAAACAATTAACACTAGTATGTTAGTAGCTGCCCTCAACATGTCCTTACCAGAGGCAAGATCATTCACCCCTCACTATCCTGGTCCCTAGGAACCCAGTTTTATGTTAATTAGGCCAGGTCCCCTTCAGGAGACCTTGGCTGTCCACCACTGCACAATAAACAAGCAAGGAGATACCGCTCTGAATCCTGGGGCTCATACCCAAAGATCTATCTGGATGCATTAACACAGAAATACTACTAAAGTTAACCCAGCGCTGGCCTGGCTGTCAACCATTAATCATTCATGCTGACAGTTTATTTTACAGTCTTGTTTGAAGAGGCAATCATCCACATTTTCTTCAGATTGAGCTTGCAAAAGTGGAACTATCTCCTCTCTGCCTCTGTGAACCACATGGGGAGATGATTCTTTGCTGCCAAGACAAATGATTTAAATATTGACATCAAATACAAGGAAAAGAAGAGCAGCAAAGAAAGTGTTAAGTATTCACAGCAGAAACCTTCCCTTCTTATGAGATTTCACCCGTCTTAGACGGTTCTCAAAGTCAAACAAAGGACTTTTCAATGTCTCCAACCTCCACTATATCAGACATTATCCACAAAGGGTAAAGTGAGGACATATAAAAAAAAGAAACAGGTGAAGCCACCGGGACTCTGAAAGAAATCCTCTTTGTGTGATGTTCTGATGTTGAGTATTATGACATGAGTTTGTCCATTTCACTAATGGAAGCTGATTAAGGCTTCATTTACATTTCTGCCAAAGTAATCTTGCACCATAAAATCAAAACAAATCTGAAATGATGTCACAGTCACACATGGAAATAGCTCTGTATCTGACTTTTCTTATCGATGATTTGAAGCGAGTTTGCTGTTATATGTTGTTAGGTATGAGGAGGAGGGGCAGTTATAAAGGTAATTGAAACCGTTTTTTTCATGAACGACTGTTGAACAATAATGCTCTATTGATTTACCACAAACTGTTTCTGTTTCAGCCGAGGACGTTGAGTAGCTCCGTGAGCAAGTTAAATGGACCTGGATGACTTAGATTGATTTAATAAATGTGGCAAATAAGCGTCAAAGAAAAACAACTATGACACAACTTTATTTTCCAAATATTAAAAATATCTCACTCAGCATGCATGTTACAGTAAGTGTTGCTCTGTGTTTTCAAAAGGGGAAAAGAGAGTATGCCAGAATTAACGGAGGACAACGTTCTGTGAGTGAGGCTAATACATACTACCATCTCCACAGAAGCAACTAAAACATGATTAAACATGGAAATAACTTGATTATAGGGTAAACCCTGCTGCAAACCAGCACACCCCCTTCCTGTATGTCACAGAGCAAAGCCAGGCTGCATAGTTAGGAGACATCAGTGTTAATTCTTAGCTCTACAAATATATTCGGCTGCTGAAAGGCATGAAGCACACTAGAAGCAAAATAAACAAGAGACTGTCTGACACTAATGGCCTTATGCCTTTAAAGGACTTCTAAATAAAATGATAAACAAGTGCTGGCCTGTAAATGAAGCGAATGGCTTCTGCCTCGCTATTATAAGTCAGCTATCAATCTTTACCCAAATTGTTTAGTGGACAAAGTCCCTGTTTACTATTCTAGTCAGCCTCCACTGCTGGTCCTCAGCAGTCTCTTGTATTATGTGTCATGGCGGAGAGTCGAGACGTTTTATGCAGTGGCAGATGCTTTATTCAGTGGCACCTCTGCAGCTTTCTGTGGTGGGAAACATCAGAAATAGCAGTCCAACATGTCTACTAGCATGAGGAAGTGGTTAACGGATCAATGAAGAGATGATCAGGTGACTGGACTCTGCATATCAGGAAGATGCCGAGACCGTGACTGCAAGGCTCATCCGAAGCCCTGAGCCCCCTGTCCTAACCGCTCATATCTGTCAGTGGGTGGGGAATGAATACCAAGCATGAATAATAGATTATCCCTGATATTTTTAGGTGAGCCAAGCTTCCAATCTTGCAGCTCATCTCTGGATTCTTTATTTTACTTATTTATGGCCGCCTCTTCTTGTGTGAGAGACAAGAGTATTACTCAACCTCTCCATGCCTCTTCCTCTGTCCAGTAAAGAACTGCAAAGTGTTGAGTGCTTCTCGAAAGCCAGAAAAATGTCAATGAGGCAAAATGTCACAAAGTGTGTTACGAGGGCTTTCCTCAAGTATGGGCTGACACTACCACTGAAAGTTCAAAATCCAGCAGAGTACGAGTTGACGCCAGTCCATGTAATTCATATATGTAGATTTCTTCATTTTAATATAACAAAGTGAGTGACCACTGATGCTTCTTAATATTCACATCAGAAACTGAGGCGTAGAGGCGCATATGTTGCATAAGCGATAAAAACATGTGTACCTGCAAACGCTGAGGTAAGATGGACAGCATTAGGTTTGCCAAGCAGCACATTATGTACATTTTATTTAGCACCCATTACTAAGATGTGTTATGATGCAATTTAAACGGAAGAAAATAATCCTGCTTGAGTGTCAGTCGCCTCTGCTGAATTAGATTCTTCCTTTTAGAACAAAGCAATCGCCCTGCTGAATTAAAACAGCGATGTCTGAAACCAAAACCTTCTGCTGTTATTTAATAAAGGGAAAAAAACCCCACAAATAAATCCATGCTCTTGAGTTTGTTTGATTTGTCTGCTGTTTTTTGACAACATTTAATATGTCTTTACTCATCAGACAAACATTTGAAATACTCTCAACTTATCTTTTCTTACTTTATTTTCCGTTTGACTGTTTGTTTTTCAGGAGTATAGTAAGCCAAGATGAAAGGGATCCACAAGCAAGTAGGATGCAAATACGGTGACAGAGCCTCACACGCGTTTAAGAGATGAAAAGAGAAGGAGACAAAGGGAGAGAGAGGCAGGGAATCTTAGGGGACTTTGACAGTCATCCTGCCTGATATGAAAGCATCTCAGATTCCAGGGCTGGGGTGTCGTGAGCCCTGCCTCTGGGAGTGGGCCGCATATGGATTACAGTAAAAGTAATCACAATACATGAATATGAGATGCCTTTCGTGCCAGGGAAAAGCTCCCTGCTTTTTGCCACATTCTATGTTTGTCCATCATCATCTGTCCATCAACCTTTAAACTATGCATGCCACCGGTCCCTCCCCGGTTTAGCATCTTTTGCCTATAGCTGCATCCCCCTGCCTGCATATTCTGGTAAATAAGAAAATGGTTTTACATTCACTAACACATCCAATAACCATAGCATAGTCATTACAACAGCCCACATGCATGATGTAAAAAAGAAAGCATCCTAAGTAGATTAATTAAAATGTAAGATTATAAACCCAGAAATTACTTATTCAACAGTCAACACTGTCGCATGAGAACAAAGATGATGCAGAAAATATAAGTCATTCAAGTGGTCTGTGGTAGGTGGAATGTACTCGTGACTCACTTTCCATCGAAGGGGTTGGCTCCTGGGATGATGTGGGTGCTGTCCCTGCCCACCAGGAAGTGCACGCGGTCGTAGAAAGTCTGCAGGTTGCTCTGTGTGGAGGACATCTGTGTCTCCTGGATGATGTCCAGGGGGTCCGGGGAGCCCACACACAGAGTGGTGGTGTGACAGGTTGCCTGCAGACAGCAGTCTGGATCCATGCAGTCCACCAGGCCATCTGACAAGGTCAAACAAGTCACAGAACACACACTGTCCCTTTTAACAACAGCCTGGACACATACCTGGCAAAGGAAACTAAACATATGAGTCATCAGGGGCATAACTTTCACATTTGAACGCTGTTTAACTACATGCCTGGAGTCATGTTAAAGTTTATTTATTTGAGATAAAATATAGGAGAAAGAGCTGCTGTGTCTTGCACTTTACTTTAAAGAAGTGGGTCATTGGACTAGCTACCCTTTGCTTCCAGGGGCCTATATCGCCAGATGGGTGATAAAAATAAACCCTGCTGTCAGGAGTCAGTCAAATCCCCAGCAGAACCCTGTCTTTGCCAGAGAGAGCCCCGATGTAACTGCACAGTGATGGGGAGACAAACAGCCCCTGCATAAATAAGGGATGCTAGTGCAAAGCTTAAGCCCAGAATGAGGTCTGGAAGAAAGGAAGTCACGTCTTTGACTTGGCCTCAAGAGTGGTGCAGCCCCCTGGCTGGCTCTGTGTGTGTGTGTGTGTGTGCCTGGCCCTGCTCGGGGCTAGTTAGGGGGCATAGCAGGGACTTTCTCCTGAGGCCAGTGCATGCTTAGGACCTCAGGCCAGCTACTATGCTTTTCCAATAAAAACCTGCTGTCCAGGTGAATGACTGGAAGCCAGTCCTCATCTCGAGCATAGTACAGTTTATTCTGAAGAACAAAGGGGTTCGTTTTATCGTCAACCCATGTCTATTTAAGAGTCCCTGTATCTGCTTTGCCAGTGACAAAAGGCTTTTCCGTGTGTTGTTTGTGATTTTACCTCCATCGTTGTCCTTGACATCACTGCAGGCAGTTTCCATAGAGGTGTCACAGCCAGTGCCCCTCCAGCCCAGCTGGCACACACAGTACCAGCCATTGTTACCCAGAGTGCACCTACCATTTCCATTACACAAACCAGGACAGCCCTCTGCATGACAAAAAAAAAAGCACAAATACTGAGGTCGGCACAGAATATCAAAACATGCAGGTTTAAAAGTAACAGATAAAAACTCTTCTTTGTTTTTGAACAAACATCCACCGTAAAAGAATAAAACAATGTGGCCTAGTATGATGACAATGATTTGTTGCCGATATTTTATCTGGGTTGCAATAAACTAAAAGAACATTCAGATTTAAAACGGCTGAGGGGGGGGCTATATTGGCCCTCAAATGAAGTTGATTAATTTGATACACCTTACGTGAAGCGTCTTATATCCCTGTGTAGTCGAATCGGATAAGAGAGATCTTCTAAATCAATATTCACTCATTACTATAATCGACTGGCCTCCAGTATCTATGCCACTACAGCTGGGTAATGAGAGTATATATACGTGTATATGCCGGCAAATAATTTGATCCGTTTTCATGTAATATTCGAATGTGACCATCATCATGATCATAGCATTTCAAAAAAAGGAACACGTTGAACCAAAACTGTGTAAGTTATTGAAAAGGGCTTGATATCATAATTTGCCCTCGTTTTTGATAAATTGGCTCTAATTTGACTGTTCTTAGCAATCAATAAGATTCTTCGTTCAGGGAGAGTGCTTGTCTTGTCATTAAGAGAAGGAGAATGCAAAATGAAATAGTAGGAATAGATAAGGCTGAGCTCATTTGGTGTTTTGCAAGAGAAGACTTTGCTGTCACTAACTGTTCCTGGACTTGTGACCCCAGGGGAGCTGAAAGCAGGCTGGAGCCAAACGACAGGTAAAACATTCCTCCGTCTCTCTCTGCAGAGGTCCACACAAGGGCGTAGATCAGAGGATGGTCTCAACTATCTTTTTTTTTTTTTTTTTTCAAGAGCTGTTTGGCAGTTATCTGCTACCTTACGATTCTTATCCCCTTGCTGAGGCAGAGGGTTATATAAGATATCAAACGCACAAGTCTGTCACAGTTTGTGTTGTTAGCAAGCTGCATTGATATAGAGAGAATGTTAAGCTGACCCATTTTATCAACTAAAAAGACTGGGGCAGCTGCCTCGATGCTCTTACATCACAAAGGCAGAAGAAGAGCGAGGGTATAAGAGAGCAAAGAAAGAGAGAGAGAGAGAGAGAGAGAGAGAGGGACTGCTGCAGTGAAGTTGAGACATGTAGTGAAGAGAGCAAGATCAGTTAAGAGAAGAAACGGCGTCGAGAATAAAAAACAGAGGAAGATGTTTAGGAAGATAGAAGGTACTTGTTGTACTTCAAATTCTTAGCAGTGTGATGCATCAGTCGCATTTTGGTTGTCGCAACACAAAGAGGGAACAAGACATGAGTCGTAGTGCGAACTTGGATCACAGGACCATCAACACTAAGACATATCTAATGTGAAGTTGTTGCTAATAAACAGTGATATGAACTAAAACACAAACAGCAGAATTTATTGTACATTTATTGTAGAAACTGAAAACAATATCCCTGTTTTTTTCTTTTCTTTTCTGCCTGTTGTCCAGTTCGTCCTCTATAGAAAGTCACTAAAAATGTATTAATATAATGACTATCTGAAACGATCTTAACCGTGTTAAAAAAAAACAGTCATGAACTATGATAAGTGTAAGTAAGTAACTTTAGACTTAAAAAGAAAAAAAGATATGGATTTGGAGTAGACACATGGGGTTTCATTAGACTGTTTGTCTTAAAATAGTAAATGAAAAAAGACCAACCAGCATGCAGCCTGTTTAATAATGGGGGAAACGTGTAAATAATTCATCATTGTAAGAAAAATGAAAAATCCCATCCTCATGTCCGTCTGGTTTCCCTGAAGAAGGGGGAGTCGCTGTTGAAGACTAATGCCATAAACGAGTGTCTTGCCTCTGAGACACATTTGGGCATTACCCATCCTTTTATTGAGCAAATGGACAAAGCAACTCTAGTTAGACCAGTGGAGGCAGATGATTAGTAAGCTCCGAATGTTTATTACAAGGATAAATAAAGATCCGCTCTCTGCTGGCACCAGTTCATTGTAATTGGCAGGCCTTTCAGACTGGAGCCCCTGCTGAGCCCTGCCCAAGCCTGCCTGACACAGCTCCAAACGTGAGGCTGCAAGTGTTCGACGGACTCCTCTGGCAGCCGCTGTCATGCCAGGTGGTCCATTACCAAGGACACAGGGAGAGGGAGAGAGGGTACTGGAGGCAAAGAGGCAGGGTTGCTGCAGAGCCTCCACCCCCTGCTTGCCCTGCACCAACCAGACCATGAACTCTTTTAATTAGAGAGGATGCGGCCTCAGCACCTATCAGGCTCTACTCACAGCTGCACACTCATCCATAATGCATGGCACAAGTTATAAAGCCCCTTTTTCCGAACACCCTCTATTAAAAAACCAAGGCTGCACACATACCAAATATTCAAGACATCAAGAAAGCAGCACAACTTGACTCACCAGGTGTGAAAGTGCTAAGTGGAGATTACTGTGTGACAATATGGCAAAAAGTTGATGGGAGGTGGGGATCTCTTGAATGACTTGTTCAGGGGCAGCAAGATGTGCAGGGTGTTTGCATATGTCAATGTAGGGGGAGAGCATGGTGTGTGTGCATGATTTGTTAATGCTGGCTTGGGTTACAATGAGAGGAGGGCAAAATAGAAGGAAGGAGGAATGTCATACCTTTCACTACCTTATCCAGATAGTGAGCTTGGGAGATAAAAGACAGGACATATAAGGGAGGTTTGAACAGTGCCACTTCCATGGCAAGACAGCAAGGCAAGGTGTTAGTTTACATTACAAAAAGATAAAAAAAAGAAAAGAAAAGAAAAATGCAGTCATGAAGCAAAATCATGCATTACAAGCAACACAACAAATACAATCCAACACAGAGGGAGAGGATGGAGACAGACAAAGAGGGGGGGGGGGGGGGAAGGGGTGGAACACATAAAAAGAGAATGACAGAGAGAGAAAGAAATCAAAAAAGTGTTAGAGAGAGGGTAAAAAAGTGATATGTTCAGAAAGAACATTTCAATCTGTTCCCATTTATCAACTGCTGGGATCGGCAGAGTATCTCCGGGGAGTATTTCAAAAGCAACATGATTGATGCACATATTACCACCCTTAAATCTCTCAAGCAATTTCCTACAGGAGGTCAGGGAGTTCACCAAAAAGCATTTTTAATCCTCAAACCCCTCCACAGCCGACGAGGGCACCAGAGGCTTTTGGCAACGGTGAAGGCCGAACTGGAACTCCTGTGCTCAACAGCGTGGGGTTTGAGGCCGACGCGAAGCTCTCAATAATGAAAATTGATTTAAATTGAGATCTTTGGCTTCTTAATGGATGACACTGAGGAATATTCTTGTCGAGGGAGTGGGGATCTCAATATGGCACTTATAAAAGGCCCATCAATAATGTAAGGCCGGCATATAAAACATTCACAGACTCAGTCAGGCCCTGTACTCAGGCAGCCCCGCTCCGAGATGTGCAAGAAAAAGGATCTTCATCTACTTTGAATTTAGGATAAATGTTCACCTATACAAAATGAATTCTCTACTTTTGCCCCATCTCCATATAGAGTCACATGTGTGGGATTTGCACGTTTCTGTCACTGAAAAGCTGTGGCAGTGGGGGGGGGGAAAGAGATGGCCTTTGTGTTTCCACTTCCTCCCTGATGCTTGAGTGGCTGGATCATAGAATTATAATGAGTCAGCTATCGTGTTAGCTGGCAGATGTCAACAAAGCACTGCTGGATCTATTACTCGTGCTCTCTTATTCAAACAAACTCAAAAGAATGCATGATGTTTCACAGGATATCCAGACATTCCTGTGTTAAATGTTATTCAGTAGCTCCTTACCACAACATCAAAGTAAACACGGGGTATGAAGACTTTCTTCAAAAATATGTAATAATATATTTTTATAAAACAAATGTGTTCATTTGATTCAAGTGAAAGAAATAAATAAAAGGAGAAGAAGAGTGGACAGGAGGAGACGGGAAAGAGAATAAATGCAACACAGAAACAGAGAGGTAGAGTGGAGATCTTTCAAAGCAGGCAGAAAATAGCAAGTCCTCCACATGGTCTTCTCTAGTGTCAAAAGGAGGTTTGACAGTCCTGATGTTAAATATCATGATGCTCACTGCATTAAAACACTTCAAGATAGACTTGAAACACAAACAATATTCAAACCTCCGAAGTTCCATAAAATCAACTCAAAAATATTCCATGTCATCTCTTTGGCCGCGGGAATATCTACTGGCTTCCTTAAGATGACTGCTTTCTTCTATCTGTTGTTTTTGTAATGATCTATAACTGTGTGTGGTCACTTTGGAGTGTCATCTCTTCATGAACTTCAAACAAAAAGCTGGATCCTAAATATATTTTCAATAAAAAATGTATTGTATACTTTTATTTCGACTCTGTAATGGAGGTCAACTAAATATACAGATCCAACATTAACAGCCCATACAACACATACCTTACTATACTGAATGAAACACATGGGCACTTACAGATCAGTCTCTGTTAACTCACTGAAAACTTCCTTTACATTTTAGAGCCTCAAGGCTTTTAAGAAAACTTTTGACACTTAGTCAAGGTCTCATGAACTTAACTTAACTGCAAGCTTTTTAAAGAAGAACAATTGTTAGTATAAACACACAGCTTAGAGAGGTGGTTGACCTGCTCACAATGACTCACATGTCAGCATTTGAAATAATAGTAAATGGAAAAGGGGGCAAAGAAAGCGATGGGGAAGAGGATGAGTAAAATGAAAGGACACCTTAGCACATTCCCACATTAAAATGCATGAAGGCAAGCCTCAGATCCTTGAGTAAACCTGTTCATGCTTTACCGAGTTGCACAAATTCAATTAAGCATGCTTTTCCCTCTCTTCTCCAACTGGACCAATCCCCTCGCACCCAGCGCTTCAGACACACACAAGCAGACAGACAGCCTATGCTTTTGTTGGCCCCCAAACACACAGACATACACACACGTATAGAGTCCCCCACCCTGACCCGAGACCCCTCTCCATCCTACCAATAGTGCAGTGTTCTCCGTTCCAACCAGGACTGCATTCACATTTGCCGTCCTTGCAAGTTCCGTGTTCGTTGCAGCGAGGGTGACACGCCCTCTGGTCACACCCAGTGCCCATCCAGCCGTCGTCGCAGCGGCAGGTGCCTGACACACAAATGCCATGGCCACCACAGTCCGCTGCACAAATCTCTGTGGGAGACAGGGACATAGAAAGAGACAAAAAAACAGGGGGGGCACGTCAGACAGAATGTAAGGAAGGGGGGGGGGGTGGAAGTGGGATGGAAAAGGGAAGACGAGGCAGTGACGGGACAAGGGTGAGAGAAAAGACAAATCCAGGAGTTATTGTCAAGGAAAGGCGGCCACGCTCCACTACCTTGTCTGAAGCTAGCTGAAAAGAAATTCCTGCACCTCATAAGGGGCAATCCTTTTTGACAATACAAATCTAATAAGTCCATTACAAAGAAAAGACATGGATTGTGGCGGCCTTAGCAGATTCATTCTTCTCCTTGCCTCTTCTTCTCTTTGTAAAAATCACCTCTTTCTTCCACAAAGAGGAAAAAAAATTAGTGTTGGAATTTCTTAAATTTTCTGGCAACATTATTAGAACTACCTTTTTTTTATGAAACAGAAAATGTTACACTCTTATTTTTTGTAAATGCTGTTTTTTTTTTTCTTCCTCCACATGCTTTGGTAACAGCTAAAGGCAGCAGTTAAGGCTTGATTGATTCAAGGCACAGGATGTCAACATGCTGCTTTTTCTACCCAAGTGCAGTGTAGCAGAGGAACAAGTACATTCATGGAAAGAGGGGGGCCGAGAGACGTAGCCACAGTAAACCACTGCGGGCGCTTTTGTGTGGCAGCTGAAAGACCTCCCTGACAGGCTCGGGTAGAGCTCGCGACATTACCCACGACTCATGAACTCCAGGGAATGTACGACAAGACGAAAGCTCATGGAAATCAAACACTGACAGATTTATTATGAATCTCATTGAAATGTGAACCTCTTTATTAACTATTCGGTTAAAAAAAAAAAAAGGCTTAGCAGTATGGGCATCAGGGAACAACAGCCATGTATTCCTTGCTTATTAGCCGAGCTAATTCAAATCTGACCACAGGGGATCAAACTGGAGGTAAAATCTTTTAATAAGTCAATTACAGCCTTTTCAGAGTTACATATTTAATTTTAGTGGTATTTTCCTGCCACCAACCATAACATGACATTACCAGCTTAAAAAGCTGGTGAATAAACACTCACCTTTCCCTGCTAATTACAGCCTGGCACTTTATTAGACTATAGAGATAATCATTTTAGAATTTGACTTTAGATTTGGTTGTAGAGTGTGCATTTATATCACTGTCTGTTATGACTGCTAATACACACATACAGACAAACATTAAACATGAAGTAGCTACACAGGTTTTCCCATCAATCCTTCTTGTAGATCTATGCCTTCTTCCTCCCTAAAGAGGACATTAACAGCATTAAATAGGAGGTGCTAATGACCATAATGATCATCTTGAGTGATCCCATTAACACATTTGTTGAAAAGCCAAATTGCAAAAAAAAAAAAAACTGACCACACATTTCCCAGAATTATTCACACACACACACACATTGGTGAGAGAAAGCAGACCAAAGCTGACTGACACAACAGCTCACTTGGAACACAGGAGAGAGCTTTAACGTGATAAAGATGCAATTACAGCCTGCAGGCAAACCCTCATTATCTACGGCCAGAGGAGCCCACTGTGAGAAATACCCCCATCCCCCTGATGGCCGTTACCATTTGCACTAAAGGGCCGTGTAAACAAACTTTCCTCTGGGTGGGAGAATGGCAAAAATAGCATAAAAACACACATATTAAAGGACATAAAACCTCAGGCATTGTTGTAACAGTATTACTACCAACTGTGTACACCCAAGTTGCACTGCTCTAAACCCACAGTAGAAAATGAATTGGTTCATTAGAAGTATTGGGGATGGGAAGATTATTGAAAGCTTTCCATCTTTTCATTCAACAAGGTTAAATTATAAGCTGCTAGCTGTGCTACCCTACTATCAAGATTGGTGTTGTATTAGAGGACAGAAAGCTCGACAATGGACAGGATAAAGGCGGATAAAGAGAGTTCGTTCACTGGAAAGCAAACTCAGACTAACTGCCCATTTCCCTCTAAATCCCCGGGATTACCTAATGGGTCATTGTGTTTGCCTGGGACAGGAAGAGATTCACAAATCCAAGTGACTTCTTCATTTGAGAAATATTTTTGTGAGAATACTAATTATGTTGTCTAAATTAAAGCAGATGAAGGTTGAGAATGCCTAGAAAACAGACCTGTTGTACCGATGATCAACACATACACGACATCAGAGGTCTGTTCAAACAGAGTTCTCTTTAGCTTTCATTTGCAACAGAGAAGCCATGAAACATGAACATAGGCTCATGTTGATTACATGAAGTGAACATTTTGAAATCATTCAACCGGATCTGCTTTTTCCCCCTGGAATTTTCTTTGCATCTGCCAATACTTCAAGTCAGTCAATGAGATATTTACATTGAACAGCTCTTTAACAATCGATCACTTAAAACACTTCCATTTTAGGAAACACATATTTGTTCAGTTTAAGGGGGGCAGGCTGCTGCCAGATGTGAGCCCAAATTGTACAGGATTTGTTCAACCTCAGATCCTAAAGAAGGTCTATTCTGCCTTTCTGCCTACTGAGGGCACGGTCACACTGGCCATCCGTACCGTGCCCCGTGGGGGGGGGGGGGGGCAATCGTGTTTGGGTACAGCACGGTACGGATGGCCAGTGTGACCGCACCCTGAGAGAACATTCCCCATGGACTAAATGAACACAATGGGAACAATCCTCCAGAGCAGAGAAAGCTATCATCAGCTGTGAGCCCGGCGTCAATGTGAAGAAAGCCAGAACTGAAGAACGAGCAGTAACTTGCATTAGATCATGGCTCTGACAATATCCCTGCTCTGCGTTTCCCTCTTTTCTGTGGCTGCTAGTTAACCATGTGGAGATTGAGCAGGAAACCATTTGTAAAGGAAATAGATTTCCATTTTAAATCAACCAGAGTCTGATTGCTAGCTGTGGACCTCCAGTTGATCATTGATTTGAATAATTGAATCTTTTTGTTGGACGTTTTCTTTCAACCCAATCAGAAATATTGACTTCCAGGACGATCCATGAAATATAAATAGAATCCAACACTGAAATCAAACTGTCACTGTACATGGCTGCATTATTTCATTTGTTAATCATTGAACTATTAAGAATTCTGTGTAGGTTCTCAGTCATCAAGGTCAAGGTAATTTGAAGCTCGACTCAGGGGTAACTGGGCTTGTTTTCACCTCTCCTCTGAAAGGCTTCTTCAGTTCAGTTATTAGGATTTGTTTTTATAGCATAGCATCTTAATTCTAACCATTACAGAGGTGCAACTACCAATCATTTTTAAGAAGCGGCTACATTTTAAAGCACATTACATGAGGACAAAATTACTTAAAAAAATAGACTCAAATTAAATAAAGCCTTAGTTAAATTTGATAAGCCCTATGAAATGGTTTCTGTGAATGCACTGACTTTTTGTGCTTGGTAATCAGAGCAAAATCAGCACTGGACTGTGAAAGAGAATTCTGCCAATGTTTACTCTCATATGAGAAAGGCACTCACCTGTAGAGCAGTCATGGCCTGTCCAGTTGGGATCACAGCTGCAGGTTCCTGTGTCTGCCAGAAAGGCTCCATGTCCAGAGCACTGGTCCATGCAGGAGGCCCTGGGGCTCTCACATCCTGGCCCGCCCCATCCCACAAAGCAGTGACACTCTCCCTGCACACATACCCCTCGGCCTGAGCATGTCGGGTCCAGGCAGTCCACTGAAAGGATTTCAAACAGAAGTAGTTAGACACACCATTCACCTGCTGTTTTCCTCTTTCAGAGACAACCCGGTGTCTCTCTTGGTCCCGATTAGAAGGACGCATGAAGTAGGCCACAGCAGCTCAGATACAGCTGCAACTAGCTTAACACACGTATAATGAATGTAAAGAGAGAACACACAGGAATGATGTGAGATTTTTTAAAAAAAAGAAGCTAATTATAAGTCTGTTATCATACTGGGGCTTATGGCACCAACCTACAGATGCTGCCCACACTCCTGCTGGCACCTTCCCATTGTCCCTTTATGAAAAAGCATCCTTGAAAAGAAAGTGTCTTAATATGAGCATGTTTCTCTAAAATGAAAGCTACAATGATGAGTAGTTCATAGCCAGGAAAACCGACACCCACATTGACTGAATAGAAAGGAGAAAATGGGTTAAAGTAAGGAAAAGCCTCAGGCAATAGTTAGAACTTCCAAGGGAAGAGCATGCTCAACTGCAGATCAAAACGTCCTTGTACCTGCTTCTTTTTTTTTTACTCTAGCATTATAAATTGTATCAGTTTCATTGAAATGCAAATATCAAACTAATGTGTTCTTGGCATATTGTTAATGTTTGTAAAGATTGTGGGAGCAAATAATCGCAATAATAACATTCTTTCTACCAAACGATATCCGCATGGCACACACAGATGGCAAACGGGCGCCAAGACAGAGTAGAGTCTAGCCACTGAGAGCAGCAGGCCACGCCATGGCAGCTCCCCTTTACCATGACATAAATGGCTATAAAGGCCGTTATAGTAAGACAAACAGGATCTTTCGCCTCTTAGCAGATGGTTTGGGCACAAGGCTCAAAGATCAGAAGCTGACTGACAAGAAACTCTCTCCTGGCAATTAATCATTGTGCCTGAAGGTCGCACGGAAGAAAGGTGCAAATGTTAAAGGGCCCTCGTGCACATTCCCCTCCACTCCTTACCGCGAACACTCCAACCAAAATAGAATGGGCGCCTATGGATGTCACAAACCCCCATTTGTCAAACTCTCAGGGGCCATTTTTCATCTTGAAATGAGAGCCTTCAAGAGCTGACAAACACAATGGCTCCTTCAATCTTATCTGGTCAAGCCTTATCCAGCATCATGAATGTGGAGTTCCTAATGGATTAACATCAGACTGGGTGTTTCAGACAATAAATGGACTGTTTTGATTAAGGTGGTGCCTAATATCATTGATTAATGTAGGGAAAGTCACCTAGGAAACATATTGTGGAGTGTTATGGTTAATGCACTCTGCATAGACCATGTCCCGTCTGTACAAGATAGACTGTTAAATAAGCCATACAGACTTAATAGCTGTTCTCATTATAAGTATTTTTTTTAAATGTCAAGCACTAACAAAGTGTTGGTTACAGCAGCAATCTTATGTAGGATTTGATGTTTAGGATACATAAACATGACTTATTTAAACAATCACCTTCTTCACAGTTTTCTCCCTTGTAGCCCGGATTGCAGATACAGGTTCCCACGATACAGGTCCCATGGCTACTGCAAGTGATGTCAATGCACTGGTTTGTGGGAACGTCACACTCGGAGCCCTTCCAGCCGCTGTGACACATGCAGCGACCTTTAAGGTATTGACCATTCCCACTGCATAGCACTGGACAGGCGGCTTTGAAAAGAGCAGACAGCATACATCCAGTTGAATGGATCACTCCAACCATAGCTTCAAAGAATAGTGAGCATGTTCAAAAAGCTGTAGTCTGACAATGAGCTTCTGACCAAAAAAAATCCACTCTAAAATCTACACATTGGCTGTTGTCTGCCAGATTCAAATAAAATATCAATCAGTTGTTATTTAAAGTTAGTAATTGAAAGTACAAATATGGTGCCAGTTAACACATGGATAACCACTGGATTATTTTAAGATGTACCATCATTCTAAAACATTGCCTTGAGCTTTTCTTTGTGGTGATTTTAATTTTAAAAAATGAATAACGCCCTGATTTCATTGAATGAAAGAATGAGTCAACACCCAGCACACAATCTTAAGTTCTCTTCTATCTACAGTTTTTTTTTTTTTTTTTTTATACATTTCTTATATATGTAACACAAGACGCCATGAGAAGAGCTGGGAGTAAAAAATGAATCATCTGCAGATTAACTGCTTAATTTAATAAGTAAAGTCTTAAGGACAATGAAAGAGAAATGTTATATTCAATTTGCTTTGTTGTGGTAATGCAGTGAAGATAATTTGGCCAGCTCTCTAATACGTTCTGGATATGAATGATGCTGATCAATAGAGACATTACGACTGAGGGTGTGACTCACCTCGCCCACAGTCAGGTCCTTTGAAACCTAAAAAGCAGCGGCATGTTCCAGCGACACAGTCACCGTTCCCAAAGCAGTTACTGGGGCAGTCATCAATAGATTCTGCAAGAGAGAAAAACCAGGAGCTTTACTGAGAGATGTGATTTGAAAAACAATTTTCCTCCCACTCATTTTCTCTGGGTTGATTATTATCCCTTTGCTAATGACAGTGATAAGCAGAGGCTTCCACTCCGTCAACATTTTCTACTTGACAGAAAAACATATTTGAGTGTTACTAATGTGTCTTCCAAATGGGAGAATCGACTAAAAGAGTAAACATGTTCTGATCATCTGGGCTTCCAGCAAGAGTCACAAAGCAAATTCTTGGAAGTTCTGAAAGCACTGGATTTGACGTGAGACATGCATCATTTAACAAACCTAATTCATCATTTTTATGGCACACTGCAACCAGACGATTTGAAAGCATCAGCAGCACTGGAACCTGCACTTCCCCACTGCCAAGGGAAATGTTAATGTATCGTATTTTCTTCTATGGTCTCATTTTCAGTCTGCTTTATGTGTTTGCAGAAGCAGTGATCAGGCCCGGCAGATTACTTTGTGTTACTGTTTTGTCAAGTCATCACAATGCTACAAGCTGAATTACCTGCACTCTAGTAGGGATTGTAAACACATTGATTTATAATGTTTAATGGCATTTTGTAGGCAGTATGTTGAAGCTGTGATTGTACGTGTTCTTTGATTATTATTCACATTATTTTTAAAATGGACAGGTGTACAGCTTGTGTTAAAAATAATTGAACTTAATGAAAAAAGAATTTTGATCAACTCAATATATCTTGGAATCATCTTATATTCTAATTATGCTCAAATCCAATACTATCTGATAGGATCACAGACCCGATATTTTCAGTCCCCGGGTGATAATATATACATCACCATGTGTCCAATAATCCATTACAATAAATTAAATCTGTAGCCTCTGTAGGACTACAGATACAATTAAGTCACTCTGCTAATTTGGCATATTTACATAGACACATATCGCTTATTTGTCAATTATTATGCACTGTCCTAATTAAAGAAATTCAATTGAATAAACTGAGAGCATTTTTGTGTAATGAAAACAGTTAGAAAAACAAACTCCCAATTATGTTGTCAACTGAATCCTCATCACCATCTAAATCAAATACATTTGCAGAATAATTATTTTTTACGACAATGTTCTGACAGTTGCTTCTATTAGAAATAAGGCTGACCACTGAACTCTGAGGTGCTCAACAGCAGCAGAATCTGAAACACGATGCTCACTGAATTAAGCCTGAAATGGTGCTGAAAAATATTCAATCTTGTTCATTGCCTACAGGCAGCAGAAGCTCTGAGGCAAAACTTACTGAACAAAGAATCTCTTGTGCTCCACAAAGGGCTAGAAATGTGAGCCATGGATTCAGCTTCCCTTTACTCTGGAGAGTCAATCATCACCGAGGATGCAACGCAAGACAGAGAGAAAAGACGGAGAGAGAGAGAGAGAGAGAGAGAGAGAGAGGGGGAGAAAGAGATAGAGGCAGACCAGAGATACAGTAAAATGAGAGAGAGAGGGAGAGGCAGTGAGCAGAGAAACGCTGCTGATGTTTTCCATGCTGCAGGCTTCCTTTTGCCATGTTGGGTTTGTGAGGGGATGCAGGGGAGACTGTCCTCTGGGGCGGTGGAGGCAAATCAGCATTTTGGTGGGGATCTGATGGCTTCCAACAACAACATGGACCTAAAGTAGGAGGCCTGTTTTTATGCTCAAAGCTAGAGAATCCAGCATCGTGTGTGGGTGTGGTATGCAGCCATTAGAAATTCCTCCCAGAAGTACAATTATAAAGGAGAGATTCCTGGTAGTAGCTCATGTATATAGGGATGAAAAAAAGGAAAGCAGGAGTGCAACTTATTGTTCACTAAGCAAAGTGCTGAAAGATACAACTTCTGCTGCAATCTACTGACATTTTTTTAAATATTCTTTTATAGAATAATTCCATTATCAGAGAGTGTGGAGTGAAGAGGCAGACAGGAACCAGCGGGAAAGGAGACGAGGACAATATGCACCAAGTGTCTTTAAAGTTTATGATGTTGAACCTGCTAATGTTCCGCTTCTATGGCATGTGCTGAAGCAATTTAGCTACCAAGAAACTCCATCTACTGACTTAATAAGCATGGAAGTATTCCACATCATTGTTCCTCTAATTAAGGTTATCTTATCTTTAACTATCATGGGTAATTCTCTGGTGAACAGCAAACCGCAAAGTTAAGCATGTATAATAGAGTAATCATGGACTGCAGTGCTTCTATTCTGAATGCTGTGACGCATTTTAGCAGACTACGCACTCGCCATGTCTACTGCCTGTGTTTCCTGTTTCCTTATCTCTTAGCCACACACTCGACATAGGCCAACGCATAAATCACGGATTCAAGCAGAGCTTCATTGAAATTCATTACCCTTCATATCAGGGGAGCTAACTATTGTGCGAGTCTCTCCACTTGGTGAGGACAGAGAAGCATGCAGTGGGCAGGTTTAATCAGCGCCTTGCCATGCTCTCCGAGGACGCTCAGCAATCCTTGAATGATGGCCGTTTGTGTACAGAGAGAGCTTCTTGCTATACAGTGAGACAGGAGAAAGAGTAAGACATAGGTACCGGGTCTCTGCTCCTCTTTGCTTCGCTCCCCCCTTATAGGAAGCTGTGTCTAGGTTGAAGAATGTCTGGCACCAGGCAGCAGGGACAAATGGCTACATGCTCCAGAGGGCTGTGATACAACACATTCAGTAGGACACGTTTCACATTGCCATGGAGCCACGGCCAAGTAATGAGGAGCAGCCCAGATTAAAGACAGGGACGCTCCATCCCCCCCCCCCCCCCCCCCTCCCCCTCCCAGATGTATCATAGCAGAGCCACGTGCAGAAAGCATACCGCTCACTTAATCATGTGAAGAGCATCAAGTGCCTCAATGACAGTAGAATAAGAGCATTTTTTCTTTCTACCAACACTGTCAGAATCAGTGAGATAATTTAAAATAGTTAGTGTCTTATAAACAATGCTGCTTGTGTCTTTCAGTGAGTTTCTTCTGGATATTGTTCACATATATTTCTATGCCTGGGCTGCTCTATTTGAAGGTCAACTCTATCCCTCCCCGGCTCAATACAATTCAGGCAGTTGGTGAGATTCAATTTCTGCTGAAGGGCACTTAACCGGTGACCCATTTTAGAAAAGGCCCCTATGCCTCCCTCTGAGCTCCTGTGGGTAGATCAGCTCTGATACAAACGAACAGAAGCAGAATTCTAGCTCTGACTAACACAGCCCCACCCCACCCTATCCCCATCCATATCTGCTGCACAGAATACCTTATCCAGTTGTGTTTTCTCTGACGCAAACCACAGGAGGCCTCCATGCACACCCAGTCAACAATAAGCAAAAGTAAACACGCTGTCCTGACTCCCCCCCTCCCCCCCTTGTGTCATATCATATATTGAGTATTGAATTACGGCTGTTGCTGGCACACTAAGGGGGGCGCGTCTCTTGCCTGTCTTCTCTTGGTGTTACATTGGTGTTGAGGACAGCTTCTCATCGATCTGCTGCCTGGCACAGCCCCTGTCACAGATGGACTCTGGCCCAGGAGCTTTTAATTAAAGAGCATGTGAGAACAGCTCCCAGCTGCCATCCCTGTGAAAGTCGACACCTCGGGCCCTCTCACACCTTGCTTTATACAGCAGTGCTAATCAAAGGTGCTTTAGGGAGAACAAAGAAAGGCGTACAAAACCAAATCACCTCGACAAAGAAGGATGTATGTCTGAAACACAGCTGTGTGTCACGCAGAGTAAGTCGGAAGACAGAAATATTTTCCCAACTTTGATATATGGAAAGTAGATGGAAATTGGAGCAAATCATGATCAAAAATGGCACAAGCAGGAGGGTATAATCACACTTTGAATTGTATGCAAATGGTTCCCAGAAGCTGGACCCCTGATTCGCTCAGAGACACTCAGGCTAATGAGGATATTATGATCTCTCAATGCCCTACTCAGGGGCATGGCAGGGTAGCACTGATGTTCTGATTTTTGTCGTATTCAACTTCACCTTGATTAACCTGCACTTTCCTTAGCTACTGAAACCTTCCAAAAACTGCCTCTGACTCATGCCCCAGTCTGGGCTGTTTGCTGTCTAGTGCTGCTGGTTGGTATTATAGGGATTATGTGAATTGCTATTACAGGTGTCAGCAGCAGGTCATGCCCAGGGCACTCACCTATGGCTGTGGTGAGGAAGGAGACAGTTTCAGTTTCCTTCCCGTCATTGTAGATGGCCAGGTGCCAGATGCCCGAGTCCATGTACTGGATAAAACCTGTGTCGTGAGTGGTGATGGGTACCAAACTCCGCTGCATAGCCACAGGGCCCTCCAGACCATGAATGTCCTGGGTGAGGAGCCGCCGCCCATCCAAAAGCTCCACAAAGTCAAACTGCGGACAGACACACAGAAAGTGAGAAAGACTGATAGATGGACCGCAGACACGCCATTAGAGTGACACATGAGACTTGAGTGCTTTCAGCCCTCTTTATAGTGGAGCATCATTTGGTCTGCATGAATAACTCATCATTCCAGAGGAGCCTGAGTAAGTTTTGGCACATCGTGGCTGGATGGGCTGTGATAATTTCATAGTCCATCACATATCTTATATGAAAGCCTTGTTTAAAACTATTAAAGTGGAAAAAAGGGAAGCGGAGGAAATGTTTTTAAAGCCAGTGTTTACCAAATAACATCTGCAACGATTTGCTTCATATCAAGAGACACTCAATGAATACCAATGAGACGGTATTTCCTTTTCATCTACATAAGGAATGGAATCTTGACTCATCTACCACTCCACGTATAATCAGACACAGCAGGAAAACTCCACTCCAGATTATTTCTTTTGAAGTACAAATAGAGGAAAGAGACCCATCAACATCACTACATGATATTTTGACGGAAAAATAAATCACAATGGACGTTGACGCTAACTATATCCATAGTATGAACAACAAGCTCAACTGAACTTACATTTAAGTAAGTTCAAAAGGTATGACAGGTATGATAAATAACATGCTACATCTGATACTGTGCTGCACATAGATGGGTAAATTAGTGCAAAGAAAAATCTCCCCGTCTCTCGTCCCCTGAGCCTTGTATCTTTGTGTGATTCATTGATGATATTGAAGCTGAAAGAAATTTGCTGTAAATCCTATTGTGCAACAAAGAGAGTGATTCATAATACAATAAAGAGATTTATGAATTGGTTTGTATTCATGACACGTTCCTACATGGTTAGATAGATTTTTTTTTTCCCCCAACAATTTTCCAATTTCTATCCTGTGGAAGAGGAAGAGGAAAGAGAAAAGCAGAATCTTTACACTCTGCAGACATGATTTTAAACTGTAACACAGAGCTTTGCATTTGCAATTTGTGCTGGTCTCCAACTCTGTTTTTATACAGCTAATAAGCTCAGCAGCAAACAACAGATTAACCAAGCAAGAAATGAATGGGTTTCAGTAAGATTGAAATATTTCCTACCTGTGTGTGTGACGGAGGTAGACCTCTCCTTCCATAGATTCCTACTAAGGCATCTTTGCTCAGGGACACATTAAACTTCAGGTACATGGGATGATCAATGAAGACCTGGGACCTCCAGAAGATACCAGGTGGAATCTGCTGCGCGACCTTGCGCCCCACGTCAATCTCGCCCATATCTATATAGCTGTCATCTGGGAACAAGCTGTCCAATTTGCCTGCATTGCGCACAAAGTGAATCGGTCAGAGAGATCACATCATTAATCCAGAATGTGGAGGGTGGAGGGCAGAGGGAGTCACTCTGCTGCAGCCTGATAGTCTGACCATATCACAGATATTCAATCACATCCCTGTCAGCAGCAGAAGAAAACATTTTTTTTATGGATGACCCCTGCCACATTACCGTCCCAATTCCAGTTGAGGAGGGAAAACAAAATAAGAAATGTGAGGGTACATCAAAATGTAGCTATATCCTGTTGTGTTTTGTTTATTGAGTCACTGACAATTTGAATTGAGAGAATGAGAAAATGAAATGATAAAATAATATTCATAACCTGATTGCATTCATTATTTCAAAGCACTGACATCCAATGCACATTACGAGACTGCTGCCTCAAAATATTTCATTTCATATATAGTTGTCATCACAGAGATAATTTAAACATGGCTGAACATATGGAGCGGAAAGGATGAAAAAAAAAAAGATACCATATAACTACTTCCATACTGTGATAAGATACAAATAAAGTAAAGTGAAAATTGTATTTACAGTAGAGAGGGATCTCTGACTCAAGAAGCCGCTCATGTATAAATGCCAAACATTTGTCCATATGTTCCATAATACACCTTATATTGGACTCTGTGGAAATGGCAACATCTGTTTGCCCATGTAGACGAGCTAATTTCAGCAGTGATGTCTACTAAAGCAGACGTCCATATAAACTACCCCCAGGACTTGGTGGCAGACACGGCTTTTGGTTACACGTGGCACGGCAGATGGCAGTGTTCTCAGAAGTCCATCAGCGGCGACAGGTTTTATCAGACAGGACAGATTCCCCCGTCTCCCAGATCGAGGTCTCACATAATGCTACAACGCACAGGCTTCCATGTTGGGGTGTGTTTGTATCCATGCGGCACATTAATGGTGTTCTCATATCAGGCTGTTTAAATAAATCAGAAGCCGAGAGCAGTGATCATGGGCCTCATGGTTAAATAAATGGTTGTTGTCCAGGGTATTAAACTACAACACCATTCTCGAAAGAAGAAGTCTCAGAAAGAGACACGTACACTGAGTTCCATCTGTATCACCTTGATAAAACATCAGATAGCTCATCTTTGTTTCTGGTGACAGCACTGCAGAATGAGACTTATTTAGACAGCTATAGCTATTGATTTCCTATCAGCAACGGTTTCCATGCGTGTCTAAGCTTAGCTAATGTCATGCTCGTTGCTAGCTAAACACACTTCACCGTCGGGTAAATGAAACAGACAACTACTGGATTCATCTATATGGTAATGACCCCATCTTCCACCTATTGTAGTCTGCCACTGGCAAATCACATGGTTCAATCTGGGCCCATTTGTTCACGAATGGAAGAAAGCAAACTTTCCTCGAGTCGAGCCGTTGGTACCGTAGGGTGAGCACATGCTTTCTGTTGCTGCCAGGAAAGGCAGCACAGACTTGGAGATGAAAGGATCACATCCGTTCTGAAGAGGACAGAGTGGCTAATCCCCCTCCAGCCCCTGGATACTCCGTCCCTTAAGCTGTCCCATTCTCTTCCTCCAGGAACAAATAACACTTTCCCACTTACAACAACTTTCATAGGATTACATTCAGATCTCTTTGCATGCCATGGAGACCAGTGAACACAATGTGAGACTGGATGGCACAATAATAACAAACTTGTTTAAACTCTAAAATGACATTTGTAAACTTTAGGATTTAAAAAACTTTTTTTCTTCGTTTTTCTTCACTGATGTGGGTGCAAAAGTGTACTTCAACAAAATAAGATGGCTGCAAAACCATCTGAATAACATTTGCTTCTGTATATTTCATTTTTAAAAATCACTTACCGTCATCTTTCCCCTTTCGGTCAGGTATTTCCAAGCCTGTGTTGCCTAGTGGTGGCAAGCTGAGATCAGTAGGAAAGGGTAGGCCACTTGTGTTGTCCTCTGACAGCTGGTACATCTGTCTCTGCATGGGCTGCAGGTGCCAGTTTAATCCGAAAAGGTGCATGGCTGAGGAATCAAACACAAGACAACCTTAGTATTAATGACATTGTAAACTTAATTTAACACAAAGTAACCTCTAGAACCCTCAAGAAAGCCATTTTAGAGAAGTCAATTCTAAAGATAATGAACAATATGTTTTGGTTTAATGGCATTTGTTTCTAAAGTGCTGAGCAGTAAGATTAGAAGATGAATGCTATCCTGACCTCATGGGACAACATCTGTCTCACCCCACCAACATCGGCTTGGACCATCCCCACTGCCCTAAACATTTCAACGACCCCATCACCTCACCGTTCCCTTGCTAAACTAGGGGACAAAAGGAAAACACACCAGCAGGGAGACACCAGGGGTGTTTCAATGTGAACACAGTGGATGAAGTATGCTGATATTTTACAAGGTCGACAAAAGAAATGTCCTCTGGAACAATGGCAGCTGAGTGCAGGACAGAGGAGGAGGGGCTGACGATGACAGATCACCAATAAGAGAATGGACAAGACGAGCTTAGCGAGGCAAAAGCTACCTTGGAAGTCAACAGTCAGCAGAAAAGGCCTGGAAACTCAATATAGCTATTTTATTGGTTTGCTGGTTCTCTTAAGCTCCTCAAGTAAATAAGAACATGATTCAATTATAAAGAGAGGAATTATCTGACAGATTTAGACTGAAGCTGGTAGCAAGACCTCTCCTGTCCTGTCCGTGTTATTTTCTTTAAATGGGTTTTCATTTTCTATCCTTTTTAAGAGAAAGAATCACATCATGTCACCAATAAGCCTTTCAGTGACAGTTCAGACAACTCATACAAACTGGTTTTAGAGGGACTGGTTAGAGGGACTTTCTGATCTAAGTGTCTACATGTTTGACACCATCTCAAAATATGCCTGAATAATAATAAGTATGATAACTCAAGGTTTGTTATTAAGAGCTTGCTTACATCTACAGCTTATTTCTTTGGTTCATAAGCATTGTTGTTTCCTATTTGTATTTGATTTATTAAAACTAGAGGTAGTAGTTTTTTCCTGAAAATTAAAATATACACATAAATACTAGACCTATAAATCAATCATCACTTACGGGCCTCCATACATGTGTGGTGGTGACTGTGTATGCAGAGACCCTGTCCTTTGACGGTGAGTTATTGAATTACAGCAAAACTGATGTATTAAATATAACAACACGATGCTTTATTCCTGCATTTAGATCTCTTATAGAAGTTTCTCATGATTACGTGTTTTTCTTTTTTAATTGGATGATCACACCTTCTTCAAAGAATATGGGATGTTTTCTGAAATATAAAGACACGTTTGGGTGAAAAGGTAGCAATATTGTGGTTATCAGGAGAAAATGGAACACAAAGATTCCCTTCCAAGATGATGAAAGTTCAACTGCATCACGAGCATCTGCTCTGTGTCTGTCCGGTGTGGAAGTGATGGTGTCAGCGTAGCACCACAGTGAGGAGACAGATGGCTTTATTTGTCATTTTGTAAGCTCCAGAAATACATTTTCTTGTGATTTCTGGCTCTACATTGACTTGCAAAATAAATTTAAAAAAAAAGGCTGTGTCTGTCGCTGGCAGAACCACTGCAAAGTCACCAAGCAGGGTGTCATTCCACGTGTCCTGGTAATCATGTCTTTGTAAGCCCTGTTCCTCATCCATCCATCCCTTGGGAATCTAATGGAAAATGATCGAGGGAATTCCCATCCTTAAGATTTGCTTGAACGCCTTCTCGCCTATCTTTAGTATGCAGAGCATTGGAACTGAGCCAGAGAAGCCTCCTGATTTTGTTTTGCTTGCTCTTCAAACTTTGCAAACACTGTGCAATGACACTCACAAGGCTGCTGCAATTGGTTGCAAAATGAAGACAGGTTGTAGGAATAACAAGGTACTTCTAATGAGATGGCTACAGGCAGAGACAAGCTGTGCCTTCGTTCCAGCAATGCCACTGACCTGTCAAGAGTACTGCACTTCGTAGCATTGCCCCTTTTTCCTGAGCACATGTAGTGCCCTCCTTTCGCTTATCTCTTGGCAGGAAGTTGGGTCACCCCATGTGCCAATTAGGGAATGGAGGTAGTGTAGTACTGTACTGTAGTGAAGCCTTCTCAGCCAATCTGTGAAAGTCAGCGCTTATTGCTAGGGGTCATCTGCCAGCATTCTTGAGCTTCTTATCCAGTGATCTAAAGAGCTCTGTCCAACTAGTGCACACTTAAGAGACACGTATGTATGATGAGTAGAACTCTTTCCCTCAATTTGCTTGCCAAAATCATAAAGTGCTCTGCGCATCTTAAAAAAAAGCCAAAAATTATGTTTTTTTAAAGCCTACACATAATACAGTATTATATATGCCTTGGACTGTAAAATGTTTTAACCATATGCTACGGATAAAGACTTGGATGGGTGTTAAACATGGTTGCTAATTTCTCACCTAACTCCATTTAGAGCTATCCTTCACTGGCAGCCTTTTGTCTGGATCCATGATCTGTGAGAATTATGTTCACACGTTTACAGATATAAAGAGGAACAAATAACTAATAAAGCCACACATGTCTTAAGAACCACATCATGCTAGCACTGAAATGCTGTATTTCTCTCATACAAAACCACATGAAATCTAAAGTAAAAATAATGTCTGACATTTTCAGAAATCAAATCTTTTTTGGGCTTATCAATTTCCTTTCCTTAGAAATTGGCAATTGGAAGTCTGGAGTATCAATTTGTGCACTTTCTATGTTGGTAGGAATTTAATTATGTAAATTGTAATTTCAAATAAATCAGTTGTAAACAGTTGTAGAAGATTATCCAGATTCTAGCTATGAGACTTATCACCACTCCCGTGCTCAATTTCTCCAAAAACACAAACACATCACAATCAAATAAAAATGTGGATGATAGCTTGATGTATCAGGGACTATTTCTTCTGGTATTCCTTCAGAGTGGAATGATACATTTAAAATAGAAATAGAAATGGATGCTTCCACCTTATAAGAAAAGCTAAAAAAAATGGTATGTAGGTGTGTGATTGCATTACTAATTTAAATTTGCTATTCATTTCATGTGCATGTTTTCAGTGTAGTAGCCTAAATTTAGTTAAGAGTTGTATAGGTTTTGTTTGTTTGGAAAAAGCCACAGTTCAAAGATTTTTGGGTTTGACAAAAACATGTATACTGTATGTCTTCTAACACTATCACCATGTTTTTTAACAACTACAGAAAGGATGAGTAGGTTGTGCAATGTCCAAAAACACAAACCCAGGTCTATATTATCGTGTACTGATTATTCAAAAGTGACAAAAATCATCCGAGCATTATTACAACAGCACACACCTGGATTGGATTGCTGGATGTCTTCTGCCTTGCATTAAACGAATAAAGCCACTGAGTTTTCTACTGAACTCCAGTAAGCACATGAACAAAACAATTGCTTGAGTCAAGACAATGAATCACTGAAAATGGAAAAATTGAATAGAAAAACACCAAAAGCTAAATTATGGCATGAATATAAGCAAAGCAGTGGGATGTTAAAGGCTTGGCAGCAATACGTGGCCAACAGACTAATTTTTGTACCAATGTCTGCCAGTTACAATAAATTAGCTATTGTTCATTTCTTTCCCATCCATACAATCTTTACAAAGAAATATTATATTGGTGCACTGACAATTAAAATTTTCCATTAAAAAACATATATTTCAAATTCAGCTGACAAAGAGCTTTATGTTTTTTTTTCCCTCAATTAAACAGCGACAGACAACTACAGCAAATATCACATAATGAAAAAGTCAAATCCAACAAAGCAATTATTTAGTGCAATACGACAAAAAGGTAAAAAATGTGTTGTAGATTGGATGATCATGCAGTCAACATTGTCGGGGCTGCATACTGAGGGTGAATGGAAGTGAACACAGCAGGATACTGACGACCTTAAAAAGTAGAAACATATAACAAATGTGCTAATGAGCGAGCGACCATGGAGAAAGCAGTGCCATCTTACACCGCTGACCTTTTTGCACTTCAAAATGTGCCAATTTACAAAGCTGTGAAAAAAATTGAAACCATGCTGTAAGTCCAAACATCTGTCATGAAACATAATTGGGTTCATTAGACATCTCACCAGATTCCCAATTACAGGCCTCAATAATTAATTGCACTTGAAATTAAATGTATTTTCTCATCAGCCTTTAATTAAACATGGCCCTCACTCTTGATTGGAAATTCGGATCTTCGGGTGAGGTTTGGTCTCCGACATGTTTACTTGTGGGGCATCAGGAGATTGTGAGAGTTTTGCAGGGTATAATTATCCTGTCTGATTAAGAACTATCAGGCTGATGGAGCTCTGTGGCTTTTGGCTAAGTCACAAGCAATAAACCAGCGTAGACACATACTGTAACTCTACTTCTAGAGCCAAACCACGACTTGCTCACACCCACTGTCATCAGTTTAAAATTCCTGGACACGTAGATCATTCCCGTGAACAGCAACCAGCGGAAAAATCTTTTTTAATCCAGCCCTGCTCTGAATTTTAAATGAAACAATTTAAATGGCTCTGACGACACAAAATGAATAATCAGATTTCAGTTAATTTGGCCTCAAGGAAAGGCAGAAACGATAGCTTTGGTGATTGTTACAGCATAATGCATATCTATAACAAATGTCCTCAATGAAGAATTCATTTATCTCACTGATGAGGGCCATGAAGAAGGATCTGGCTGTTCTTTCATTGACTTCATGCATATGAACTACAATGATTTCACCAGCCTTCTATTGGAAAACCATTTCTTTTTTTCTCTCTATGCGAGATTCAACTCAACAATGTAACCATTTATATGATAAGCAGGTACTAGGATCTGTATAAATGGTAAAATAAATTAAAAAGAGGTGCATATCATCTCTTGATTTGAATTTGGAACACATGGCTTAGGTGGAGTAGTCGTCATTTTAAAGAAAGAAGTTAAAGCTTCATCTTTCATGTCGATCACTGTATCATTGGAACATTCAGCCAATCTATGCAACAATGATCGATTTACAATATTTGAATCCAGACCTCAAACTTACCTTTTTAGCATTTCATTGTTCCCTCCTAACCCCACTCTTTGAAATCCTTCCTCCCTTCTCCTTTTCCTTATTCTGATTGAACTGAGTACAAAGCTCTAACTCAGTCAACACGAGGTAAACGCACCACAGCTAGACCCTAAAAACCTTTGCTTCACCAGTTAATGCCCCACTACCTCTTCCACTCAAAGAAACCAACCTCACATATTCTCAGAATCACCCACTACTACCAACTACCTACCCACAATCTTGTCGATCCTAAAACTCTCCAACATGGCAGATACTCCTGCTATTCTCAGCTGCTGCAAACCTATGAACTCTATTGAATCCATCTTTATAAAGAAGTTAAAAAAATTAATATTCTTTAACAATACATTTCTATTCTGTGAAGAAATTGAAGGTTGATTCAACAACAGTGATTCTAACTGTAGCAAGTTAGAAAGTATGTAATACTTGATTTCAATACATGGGCGTACTCTTTGTACAGAAAGTTTGAAGAATCTCAGCTACCCATAAAGAGTTGTTTTTTTTCATTATTGGCAGAGCAAGAGAACACAAAGAAAACCATCATATCCAAGCACGAACACAGAGCTGGCGGCATAGGTTTATTTGTGATCTAAGAAATATGGAAAATCATCATCACAGCAATTGCTTGAAGAGTCCACTTACATGTACTTTTAACTTTCTTTTCTAGTGCTTTTTCATTGTTGTGTCTTCGTGTACTACTTCTTCTGATCATTTACGAGTGGAATGCGTAAACACTTTTGCATAAAGATCACACGGATAAATAAGAGATTGTATTATTAGATATGAACATCATTCTCTTGAGGAACAGCAAAAGTCAAAAGGAGCATAACAGACTTAAAAGCATATCTCAGATAATACGGCTGGTTGTCCTTATCCAGCTGGTCAGAGAATTTTTAAACAGCGAATATTCAAATTCTGCAGTCCTCTCTTGGCTGATGTCTTTTTAATTCATTTCCTTACTGACCTATACAAGAGCAAGACGCTGGATTACTCGTCAGTGCAGACTCAGTCATCCCAATCAATGAGTGATAATGTTATTTCGGACCAGGTGTGTGGGCGAGGAGTCAATCTATGAGCTCCTATATAGCGACGCTCATATATGGCACAGAGTGCAGATTCAACACTATTAAGAGGTGTAATAGAGGGAACACAATAGAGCATGGACTCATCCTGTGTCTGCAGTTAAGTGGGGGGGTGGTGCTGGGGGTGGATAGGTATAGGCACCCACCCTGGTGTGTGGAAGCACTGTAGGTGACTCACCGATGAAGTAGGCCAACAGGAACAGCAGTGTTACTGAGATGAGGATGGCACTGAGAGCAGCACATTTCCAGTTGCAGTGTTTATAGGGTTTCTTCAGGCTGAAGGCAGGTCGAGAGAAGGTGTTTCGAGGCAGAGGGCGTGGGGGAGGCGAGTACACTGTGCTGGAGGTTAAAGGGTATCCTGGTGATGTTGTGCAATACATCGGAGATGTTCCCCCTGGTTTGAACAGGAAGTGCCTGGAAAAGAAAAAAGCACATTTTCCCGTTAACAATAATGGCCAACTGAATTCTCAGGGGTGTCTGTCATCATAATACTGTATGTAACCATCCAAGTGCAGCCCCTTCCGCTGCTAATTCTGTTTCCAAGCACATTCAATACTGTTACCATAGTCACGCTTCTGCTAGATTAGTCAGAATACTAAAGCATAGTGGGTTGCTCAGTCGAAACTGTGAATCAATATTAAATCTAATTTACAGGACTAGTGACCGCAGCTGGCTCTTGTTTACGTATTCATGCTGCTGTAGTGAAGAGTAATTCTCAGTAACTATGTGTCAAGACTGTCCAGAGGAGAGACACAAAATATGAGGCTGCAGATTGAAGTTGCACAGATTTATTCGCCCTTGGAGAACATGGCTGGCTATCTCAG